GGGAGTGAAAATAAGAACGAAAACTGCACCCAGATGCATAGCTACAACAAAAAAAAACCCTCAAAACCAAGAAAAAAACCCACACAGGCAAGACAAATCCTGCTTTTACAGAGCAGGAGGCTGGGAACCACCCACATATTTGTCATTGTAGGCAAGAAATTCGGATGTCTCAGGAGAAGCCTACCTGCCAGATATGCCGCCCTCGCACCGTCTCACCCAGCTGCCCCTTGCCACCAGGAATGGGGGTGGCCCTGTCCCTCCTGCCCAATGAAGGTGCCTGGGGAAGGGGGGTCTGGATCTGGGCTGGGCTGTGTGTTGGGGGTGGGGAAGGCAGGGAGCAGGCAGCCCTCTGACCTCCTTCTCTACTTCCACCAGCAACCCTGGCCCGGGGCAACGAAAGCAGTACATAACTGCACCTCCCTGAGAAGCTGCTGCCCCTCACCCAGCTGCATGGGAGACACTGTGGGGGGGCTGCCGCCAGCCCCCACCAGGGTGAGTGTGTTCAACATTGCCCTGAGCTTCACTGATAACCCACCACTGTCTCCCACTGCAGATCCAGCTGGCCAAGCCACCCCAGGCCTGTATGCATCCCACCGCCATCCCCAATGGATCATCAACACCTCGCCTGTGCCTGACAGCACCAGGGCATGGAGCCAACCCCCGGGAAGACTGCGGGGCTGCTCACTGTGCAGAGGCCACTCGTGTTTACGCTGGGTGACAGTCTGTGCTTACATAGCGCCTTGCTCCAGCGAGAGATTTACAGGCAAACAGCCTCTCAAACCACTGATATGCACTGGGCCCTGCTGGTGGAAACTGGGTTAGGGAGATGGGGCAGGTGCCAAGGATGCCGACAGCTCCCGAGCTTGTGGGGGAGCAGCACTCCCCTCTGAAAAACAGAGGCGGGGAAAGTTTCCATGGCCTCCCGATGTCTGTACATTGCCCAGTGCGGTGCTTGGAGTACAAAGGGTGGGTCTGGCCATAGAGAAGCAAGTGCCATGGTGCCCAGTCTGCACCAGCTGCCCCTTCCCCATGTACCCCTGCCCTCGGCCTGCCTGGGGATGGAGGGAGGTGGTGTGAAGCGCCTCAGGTGATCCCACTTGCGGGAAGGATCCCTGGGGGATCTCGAGGTGGCTGCAAGTTCAGGACACCCTCTGCTTGGCTCTGACGTGCTCCAACTGTCCCTGTACAGCAGCCGGGGCTGCAAATGTGAGGGGTGGCGCAGAGCCTCTCCTTGGCCCCTGTTTCCGCACCTCATGGCCCTGCTGGGGAGATAGCAGAAGTCTGGAGAGTTCATTTAGCAACTGAAGTCATTAAGGAATCACACTTAGTTGTCTCTAAGCCCTAACGAAGCCAATTCCCAACATTAATGATTGTTCTTCCTTACACTGTCAGCCACTAAATATAGCTGCCCGTCCACTCAGCGCACAGCGCTGATGTTATCTGCTCTGTTTTTACTGGCTCTGCCGCTCTCTGAAAGTTCTCTTTTATATCAGTGGAAAAGTTCTCTGCTCAGGGAAATGGAAAAAAAAAAATCGATCTTCTTAACTTAATAATTTTTCCACTCCCCTTTGCCTTCCACACACACACACACACACACTTGCCCTTCCTCATTTATTCACTAGGGCTCTCATCTTAACAAAGAAATGCCTCCTGCTGTTCCTGTCCAGTTTGTGGGTACTGTGTTTATGCACAGCTTGGGGCACAGGCCAGTGGAAACCCAGTTTAATCCCTACAGGGTGGATGATTTCACGTGGGTGTGCTGCTGGGCTCTCACCTCCAACCTGGCCAGGTACAGCCCCCTCCTCTTCCCAACAGGGAAGACTCTACAGGGACCAGTTTTAGAGCTGTGCAGCAGAAATCAAAACCCAAAATAAGCAAGAGCAAAAGTCACCTGGGGAAAAAAGGAGAAAATCCTTTCCAGAGACCCTCCTAGAGGGCTGACTGCCTTGCTCTGCTACTGCCGTGTCACAGCTCGTATTCCTCTCCGAAATCATTGACATTAACTGCTGTGGACAAGCAACACAGCTGGACTTTTTATAGATGGCACAGATGAAAGTGAGCATTACGCTCATCTAATCTGAATGCCACAAAACCGGTGTCAGCCTCAGCCCCTTAATTGCTACCTGCCATTTCTCCAGGAAAATATCCCTGTCTTGATTTCAGCATACCCGGTGTGGGAGAATCCACCAGTCCCAAAGGCAAGTTCTCCCCACAGTTTGTCTCCACACTCTTTGGAATATGTCTCTTATTTTTAGCCTGGTATTTATCTAACTCCTTTCTTCCAGCCACTTGTTATACCTTTTCTTTATGGGTGAGATGCATCAACTCTCAAATGCAGCACAGTTTAAGCACACTTGACTGGTCTTGTAAGATCCCGACCCACTAGCTGAAAGATATTCCACCCACGCAATTCTCTTATTATTTGCCTTGTGATCCTGGAGCCTGTAAGGTGCATATTTTCAGCTTTGCTCCCAATCCAAGAGAGAAAGGATTTGCTATTATTTTTAATGGCATCTGACTTTTTCAGCTCATGATGTAATTGCAGGAGTGGGGGCTACAGAACATCTCAATACTTCCTGCACCCTCTTTCCCCTTGAGCTCCCTTATTTTCTCCAGCCAGGTACTTCTTCCCCTCCTTTTGTCCTCTCCTGTTGGGCATCTCTGTCTTCCCCTCATTTTAATTCCTATATTGCTTTCTCCAATCTTCATCTTCACTTCTTCATGTTTACCCTCTGCATTTTGCTCCTTCTCTGGTGTCTTGGTTCTGGCGGGGATAGGGTTAATTTTCACAAGGAGCTGGGGTAGGACAGAGCCTGGATGGCTGACCCAAACTAGCCAAAGGGGTATTCGATACCATGTGATGTCATGCTCAGTATATAGCTGGGGGAGCTTGCTGGGGTGGAGGGGACAGGAATCACTGCTTGGGAGCGGGCTGGGCTTTCCAGGTTCCAGTCAGTGAGCAGTTGTATATTAACTGTGTTTCATATGTTCCTGTATCAGTATCATTGTTGTTGTTTTCCCCTCTCCTTTGCTACTCTGCCAAACTGCCTTTATCTCAACCCACGAGTTTTGCCTTTTCTTCCAATTCTACCCCATCCTGCCGCAGGGCAGGGGAAGTGAGTGAACTGCCACATGGTTCTTTCTTGCTGGCTGGGGCTAAACCATGACACCTGGTCACTCCATCCCTCTGCCCCACCTATTCCTGCCTGTCAGCCAGGGAAACCTTTTCAGCCTTTTTCTGCAATTACTCCCCTGTTGTGAGCAGTGCTAGGATGTCCTCCAAGGAGCTAGCAATGGGCAGGAGCCCACTGGCTTGAGCTGGAGAGCTCCTGTGTGAAGGGATAGTGTGCCTGCAACAGCATCTGCCTGTGGTGCTCAGGGACCTCACTGTGCTGGGCACAGCAAATGCTGTCCCTACCCAGCCAGCGTGCCCTGGGGAATACAACAGGGAAATGGAGGCATACAGGCAGCAGGGCATGGGGTGAAGGGCAAAAGAAACAACATGAGTTAGCTGAACTTTGAGACAGACTCAATGTGAGAACCCAGAATGAGGTTCAAACTGAATATGACATGCACGTTACAAGCCCCAAAAGGCAAGGATGCTGTTTGCAAAATAGGTACCAGACCTGGTCCAGGAGAACACAGAGACATGGTTTAAGTAAGGAAGGGTTGTGAGGCTTTAAGTGCCAGCTGAGAATATTGCAGCAGCTTTTCAGTAACACCACAAGCCTGAGTTGCAGATAAATAAGCAGCCTACAAACAAACAAGCTTAAATTCCTAGTTGTTACACTATGGGTACAACTGTAAAATATGGTGTTATGCCCTGCACATGTTCCTCCCGTTGGTAACACTCCACAGCCTGCCTCACACCCCAGGGACAGAGTCGCACACATGACTTCAGTCTCAGTGTCTACTTCTCCTTTACTGCCACAGCTCCCGACGCACGTACCTACCAGAGCCAGCTTGCCCCACACAGATGTGCAGCTACTTCTAGGGTAGAGCCCAGCTATATTTAACAGCCCACCAGCAGAGCAGGGGATGGGAAGCGTACGGCCATCATGTCCAACTGAAAGCAAAGGGCGCATTGACTGAACTGGCAAAACTACTTTCAAAGTTAAGGGGAGCCCCAAGTTTGCTCTTTATTGCAACGCAACCCCCAGAAGCGTCCCAGAAGAGGCAGGCAGGAAAACAAAATCCAAAATCAAAACATGGGGATAAACCTAAACGGGCTAAACTGATCTTCCCTGCAAAAGCAGATAGCTTTTCCCACCCCAGAGCAAGACAAACAGCATCCCTGCTGACAGCTCAAAGAGTGAGGCAGGTTTTCGGAGTTGCTCACCTTTTCTCTTACTCTGTAGGTTTGATCAGAGAGATGCTGGTTTCTATCCTTCAGGCTAGTATTAAGCTATTAAATGCACCATTTCACCTTGTTTTCCTTTTATTGACTGTCACCTTCAAAGCTCCTCATGGCAGTTCGCTCTCCCACTTCTACCTCCCAACTCCCTTCCCCTTCCAAGCAGACTGGCCCTACCATCCTTCACCAGCAGCTCAAACACCACCACTGCCAGAGCATCCATAAACTAGAGAACAACTTTCCCACACACTGACGTCATTGCCACCTCATTTCACTTTTAATTGGCTACTGTTTTTTCATTTAAACCAGTTGATAACTACCCTTTACTCCTCAGCCTTCCCATTTGGGGCTCTGCTGCTCTTCATAACGCCGGGTGCCTTGTGATGGCGTGTTTCCTAATGCTATTCAGCCCCACGACAGTGGGACTTGTTTATTTGCCTGCTCCCTGTCACCTAGCAGGAGTCAGAGGGTGCCACCTCCTGCTGCTGCAGCGGGGAGGTTTAGCACACGCTTGCCATTTCACTGCTCAGAACATTTGCTGTTTGTACAAGCACGCACATCGCTTTCCTTCGATGTAAAAGCCCATGCCAGCAGAAAGAAACTACCAAGAGAAGTGCAGTTTTACCTGGAAAGTAGAAGTTCTCACCTGGGAAAGCTGTGATGGGTTCTGCAAAGGAACAAAAAACAACCTAATATTAGAGAGGGGAATATTACACACAAGGCCACAGTTCATGTTTCTGTTGTTCTGTAGCTGGCAAGCTGAGCAGGCATGGGGCTGTGCCGCACAGAAGCCACTTGCTGGGAACAGCGTGCAGGGTGCCAGCCAACCTCCGCTGGATAGGGAGAAACCCTGTCTCAGCTGAGGACTGACCAGGCGCAATAAGCTTCAATTCAGACACAGACTTCAGAGCAAAATACGTCTTAGGTTGAGGGTCATTTGGATTCAGCTGGCTGGCCTGAATCATCCAAAGAAAAAGTCCCACCTGGCCCAGTGACGAAACCCTGAAACCCCCTAAAATTTCCAAGAGCGTTTTGGTTTCATTATTCACATGGGAACTGCGTTACTTCTGGGCACCGATGCCATGCTCCTCTCCATCTCACAGTACCAAGAAACAAAGGCAAGTGATTTTTTTCTTCTCTCAAGATACTTTGAAGAAATAATCTATTACAAATTACTGGATCTGAAAAGCAATAATCAGTACTTATTACTGATTACTTTCTTGCAGAAGTAATAGACTTCTGATTATTTTTAGATTACTTCTGCATTATGCCTGTGAGTCACAGAAGCAGATTCTGGCTTTACTGAGTGCTATGAAATCATCACTCAAGTTCAGAATGCGAATGACACATTTGTCAAAGGAAAAAATTATTGTGACTTATTAGCGTTCTTTCACGCTAAAAAGGAATCAGATTACTTCCCAGGATTACATTTGAAAAAACAGTAGCCTGTGCTGGAGTCAGCTATTTTCATGGCTCTGACAGAGAGACAGAGCAGCACTGTATCTCTGATGTTTCATTATTATTTTGGTGACATCGGAAATGACCCATGAGTTATGTTAAAGTTTGCAGTAGGAGCCCTTTGTTAGAAATGATCTGAAACAAACTATCCTTATCGGTTTTAAGATTCCCATTCAGCTTCCTAGAATGGGACAAATAATTTTGTGTAGCAGTTTGGTGTTATTTTTAGGGCTGGCAATGCTTGAAACTTTGTAATTTATTAATGCTTTTGTTTAGAAATACTAAGCTTTAGGTTCGTGAGGCCCAAGATACAGTAACACTGGAGCTAGGTGAATTGCTGAGCTCAAAAGAACTTAGATAGGAAATGCCACTAGTGTTAATCATCAGTCCTGCTTTTCTTTAATGCCATAGAAGGCAAGGGATTAAAACACCACTGTCTAGCCTTAAATACAGGGAAATTGACATATGGAGTATTAGCTTCTTTGGCAGATGGGAGACCAGCAGAGTTCAAAGCATCAAAGAAATGGGGACCAACAGTGCTCAAGAGCGTCTCTGGGGCAGTCCTGGTCCTCTGTTCTATTATTAACGCTGGTGTCTGCACCATCTTCACCATTGCCTGCCTGCACAGGGCAGCATGTGACATGACCAGCCCTTTCCAGGCGCAATTTGTCCAGTGCCTCCACCCCTGCGATATAACTCCTTGAAGAGAGCACCCGTCCCGCTTGGGTTAGGAGACACCAGGATCCTCCCCTCCCGCAGCAGAGGAGAGAAAAGCAGCTTCACTGAACAGGACCTTTCAAAGCCCAAAGGGGAGAGAGGCTCTGCTCCACCGGACTTTTTCCACTGACTTCAGGATCGTTGGACATGGCCACTTTGCAGGTGTTAAACAGTGAAACGTGCCTCCCCTGAGTCATTCAGAAGAGCAGGCCCTTGCTTTTGTGGCCAGCTCTCAGCACAGATCCCACTAATTGAATACTGCTGGTCCCACTGTCAACTGGGATGGGTCTAAATCCACATCCAAGCTAGGTGGTGACTAGAGTCATCAGAATGCATACATGAATATGACAGCTAGAGGAACAGGGCAGGGCAACAGTTCCGCCAGCAAACTGCTAAAAGCCACTTTTTTCTCTCTTTTTTTTTTTAAAAAGTCCTCTCTGTCTTTAGCATTGAACGAATCCACCTGGCTTTTGGCCTGGTTTGGGGAACGGTGAATTCTAGGACAAAAATTTCTTTTGTTATTCTTTTAACATTGCTGTAAAACCCCTCTGCTATTTTATTTCTTATTAGAGAAGACTCCTTTTGAACTCATCGGCCCCTCTAAGCGTGTAATACTGATTGACAGCTGGTTTCTTTTGTCCAGCACTTTCCTTTTAAATTTGGTGTATGTCCTTATCACACAGAATAGTTCTCGGTAACCCTCTGCCGCTCTTTCAGCTTTGCGTGGCAGAGACATGTGCTTCCTGCCTCTCACACCAACGCAGAGCCCCAGTCCCCCAGAGACTGAGTCTTCCTCATTTCTTTCATGGCCAAGGAAAGTCTCAGCTGAGATCTAGAAACTCCCAGTAACTCAAGCGGGAGACAAGCTGTGGCCAACTAGCAGCCTGCAAGTGAAGGCTCTCCAGCCCCAGCCACCCCCACCACCACCCTGGACGCTGTGGCCGGACACAGCACGTACCCATGCAGTTCTCCAGTGGGATGTCGGTGCCTAGCCGAATGTCATCAAGGGCGAGCTCTCCCGAGTGGCCGTTGCGTATAAATCCCTCAAACACAATCTGTGAGAAATCAGGACAAAAATGTCAAGGCTAAGCTGGAAGGCAGAGAGTGGCTGCTGCTCCCGAGGGAAAGGGCAGGAGATCTGCTCCTGACTTGCCCTGCACTCCTGTGGATGACCTGAGATTAGTCCTGCTTCCTTGCCCTGCCTCTGCCATCCCTTCCCCAGAGAAAGCTGCTCTGCCAGGACGGGTTTGGCAGAAAGATCGTTACCTGGCCTGGCAGCACTCGGCTTGCAATACGTTCAATTAAATGTCTCTTGCATGGAATAAAGACTCAGTGAATCAATGTTCAGCATCACAGGCCACCCCCTGGCCCTTGCACAAATGATGCAAGTGGCATAACACTGACTTACAGCAGCAGCAGATTTGGCCTGTGATATTAACTGGACTATGATCAGAAAAAGGAAGGGAAGGACACAAAATACACTGCTACATTAACTGTAAAGTGCTGTTCCCATCAACATTACATAAGAAGTATTGAAATGTTAGAGGAGAAGGGTCAATTTATTCCTACTTAATCACAGGCAAAATATATTTACAAAAATAAATAGAGTCGTTAGCTCTAAGAACTGCTGAGTGGAGAGACTTGCATTATTTACATAATGATGCTGTTATTTAGCTAATGCTGGTATATTCACATTTAACGCACAAAGTAGTCAGCCAGTGCCCATCATTCTTATCTGTAGGCATATTGCGTTTAGTGGTATTTTATTAAAAAGCCAAACACACACATGCAAACTAGTCATGCAGCTCTGGTGCTCTTTGCGTTGTATCTCCCTCACTACTCTTGAGGGTCCAAATAATTTCCTAGGGCTATGTATTTCACAAACCTCCTCTCCCCATTTTAGATGCCCCCTTTCTCTGGGGTGGCTGGGCAGCCCAATCCTATGCCTGCCTGCAAGGAGACCTCCCTGAAGGGTCAGGTGTCTGTCTGCACACAGGACAGAGTGTCAGAGCTGTTGGTCCCAAACATGAGCCATCAACCCACACAGGAGGTAGCAGTCTGGAGGGCTCAGTGGCTTGAGAGCAGCAACTCCCCGGGGCAGGGCCGGGCTGGGAGCCAGCCAGACCAAGGCTCCCTGCTGGGGTGGTCATCAAAGCACTGCATCGGGCCTTCAAGTGGGTGTTCCCTTCTGCTTTGGAGGGTGCTGGATGCCATGCTGATGCTCATTAACAAGTGACAACAGCAGCCCTGGCTCCCTGGCAAACGGCGCACTGCCCAGAAGGGCTAACCATGCCAAAGGCACTCCTGGAAGCAGCAGCCTCTCTGTGGGGTGCTGGCACGGCCGTGCCAGAGGGGCTCAGGCGGCTGCAGTGAGCAGCACAGCTCCCTCCAGCTCATCTTCTCTTTTCCACTGATCTCCTGACAGTGGGACTGGGTCTTGATCCCACAGAGCTGCACCCAGCCCTCTGATCTGGTCTAAGGTATCCAAGAAGCAGATTCACGAACAAACCCACATTCCCCATTCCTTCTCCCATGCCAGCGCTTGCAGCCCAGGCTGGAGAAAGGCTGTTTGCTGCCTACCCTGAAGAGCTGGCTGTGCTCCCTCCCAGCATCCCACTTCTCTTGGCTGCAGGGTTTGGGTTTGCTCCCTGGAGCTGCACGACTGCCTCTGGTCAGACTATCTGATGACCATCAGTTAGGGGGGAAAAAGCACAAACCAAAATGAAAATAAAAGAAGGGAAAATAATTGCAAAGTGGGAGATTTGAGGAATATAAAAGGCAACAGGCTGAACAAAGGCCCAAATCTGTGCAGAAGACAGGCACTCTCTGAATAACAAACAGTGTCGTTTAGTTACTATAGTAACTCGAGAAACACAATGAAAACAGCCACATTCCCTAATGATGAATGAGCCCTAGCTCTGAAACACTGAAATAAAGATGCTGGAGATGCCTGCCTGGCCCAGCACACCTTCCCCGAGCATCTTACCCGGTACTCCATGTCGTAGCTCGGCAAGATGATGCGGCCTTCCCTCCACTCCTCCCCTTGGTCCTCTGTGATGACCCACAATGCCTTGTGCTCCTGGTTGGCCTCCCGCCAGACCCGCAGCATCACCCCATTGCTGCCCCATGCCTGGTACTGGAAGACCATGCAGACAGCGCTCCGGGGCAGATAGATGGTGGGGCTGATGAGCCGGGCTCGCTGGCTTTCCCTCCTTCCGCTGCTCTGCAGCTGTAGGTAATTCTTGCCGTCTGTTCAAAAAGGAAAACACCATTATATTATTTTCTGTGGCCAGCTGCAACAAGTGTCTCACCTCCTGCCAGGGGTCTTCGGCAGTGCTGGGCAGGGTCTCACACCCATGCCTGCAGAAGTGGGGTGCGCAGCAAGCTGTGCCACTGCTGCGCCCTGGGCAGGGCACTGAGGAGCACACTTCCTTCACCAGCCACCACCGTCTGGTAGGAGACTGACAAGAAAACCAGAGAGTGGTAAGCTGAAGATTGATATAATTAGGAGAAGTTAAAGAGCAGTTATCATCAGAAGTGATGCCATGATAATGACATTGGGAGGGGGTTGTGTTTGTTCTGCTGGGAGCTGACTTACTGAACAAGCCTGAGGTGGGTTTCTCTAACCGCTGGCGCTGAAAACTCATCTTGGGATGGGGATCTGAAGCTGTGTTCATCCTGCTTCTTTTCATCCCCAGTAGTAAATATTCCACAAAATCAGGGTCTAGCTGACAATTTTGTTTTGAGGACACACACGACAAAGTGAAACCTGGCTCTCCTTTTTTCTGTAATGCAGCAAAACAGCCCCTAAGGCACAGCACAGAGGTAGAATGTGGTCCCAGTGAGTGAAGTATGCACAGGTGACAACTATGTAGCTGCAAACTTGAAGGTAGCTGAAATACATACAGCAGGGGATTCACTTGCTTTAATATTACATTTTAAATTGTGCCATGCTTTTCGTCAATCCTCAGGGAGGAGAATTGGTGTGTTTGATGTCCCAGGAGAAGTTCAAGGCTGAAACTAGAATAGGAGATACTTGATCTGAGTACCAATAGCAGCAAAAGCCCGTGGATACAAATCCCTGGGCACAGCTGGTTTGGTCTGGAATCAGTGATTTCCAGATCTCTCTGATGAGAAGCCTCCTCAAGGAGTTCTCCATTTACAGCCTGGATGCCTGAAGTCCCTTAGCATGGACTGAATGCCAAGTGTGTAGCTGATCTGATCCTTACCTTCCCCCTCCCATCATGACCAATGGCAAGACAGAGTCCCTTGAGTTGCTCTGACTGCAGCGCCTGCAGTACGAGGTGACACACAGGCCAATGACAGATACCACTGTATTTCACATTTCACTCATCAGAGGGATCAACATACTTGTTATACAGTGGGCAAGTGTCACTGGTGCTTCATGCCAGCACGTGTGAGCCCTCCTGCAGCCCAGGAGGGGCTACTTCAGCCCCAGGACCACACCTAAGGGTCTCTTGCTTCCTTTCCCCACGTCTTAGCCTGCTGCGCTTGACAGCCGAAGCTCTGAGCAGCAGCTTGCCTCCTGCTTGCCCTGCTCCCTCTGTGGCTTCAGTGCCCACAGCAATGGCACAAGTGTCTGCACTAACAGTGTTTGCAAAGTACACCCAAAACGCCTCCAAAACTTAAACCAGAGAGACCTGAACTTAGATCCCAGTTCCTGAGCATCAAAAGACAGGTCCCACCCAGAAAACAGCAGCTGACCTTGCTGCTGCTCAGCAATCTGCTGACATCCCAACCTATGGGAGATGTATCAGTGGTTGCACAGCCACTGGCCCTGCTGCAAGTTTATCACTGCCAGAGAGCTGGGCTGAAACCAGCCACCGTGAGCTACACAGCTTTCTAAAATAAATTTAGGACAAGACAGCAGAAAGATTTGCCATCACTCTACCCCTGGGATGCACGATCAAAATATTTCAAAAGCGTATCCACTCCATATGAACTTTCACTGATTTTGCTGCGTGAAGGACAAATCTGTCCCTGACCAGCCACAAAAAGAAAGGGCAACATTTTCCAGCAATATTTCCTAGCACCTATGAAATGTACTTGGGCCACTTGGCACTTTATGCCAACAAACAGTAGCAGAAAAAAGATGAAAGCATGTTTGCTCACTCCTGTTTGAGTGAATCACTTGAAAAAGTACCATGCCGTTCTCTAATGGAGTGTTCTTGTGATTTACCTCGGAGTGGTAGTGGTGGAGGAGGAGATGTGGGAGATAAACAAGTGGAGGAAGAAAAAAAAAAAGAACAAGCTGTACTTCATGCCTAAGGAGCGATAAGGCATAATAAGTCATCAAGGTCTCCTGAATTAAAATCCTCTTTTAGTAATTCACTACAAACCTCTTCAAAGAAAAAAGCAACAACAACAAGAAAAAAGCCGCAACAACAAACAAGGTGGAAGAGCAAATCAGTCTACTATCATACAATTATCTCACAGATGAAATGGCAAATCCTTAATAAAAGCACCAGGCAGGCTCAAGAAGGATCAAACCCAGATCCTCAAAGTTCAGGACTGACCTTTGGTGCCCACAGTGAGTGCAGGGATGCAAGCCACCCTTGGATCCACCCAAAGCTCACACCTGAATGCAGGAGACAATGTTAATTGTGCAGCTGGACACCCCCCACAATCCACACCCCTCACTGGGAGTTGGTGGTACCCAGCGTCGCTACCTCCTCCACTCCAGTAAAAGAGCCTGTGTGCCTCTGAGACACATCCCTCATACCAGGGCTGACTCCAGCTTCCAATTTGTTCCCATTCCTATCAGGCTGTGAAATCAAAGAAACTCCTGAACCGCAGCCAAAACCAATGTCCCCCCCATCCCCCCAAACCACACAGGCTCTTTCAGAGCCACAGAAGCCCTTACAAACCATGCATCTTCTGTGCTCCCTGCCCAGCGCTTGCTGGGGCCCATAGACCTTTTCAGGACCTGCTGGCAATCCCAAGGGCTGTGGGGAGGCTCAGTCTTTGAGTGATGAACCCTGCTGCTCCCCTGCAAGTGGCAGTGGGTTTGGGTACCATGTGGTCCTGCTCCTGGTAACAGGAGCTTCTGGAACAGAGAGTGGAGTGCAAGCAGACACGACTTTCTGTGTCATTTGAAGATGAAATGGCTGGATCACTCTAATGGCTAGCTGGTCCTTCTGAAAAGCCCTGCGAATTTGCTGAGACTGACTGAACAAGGGCACTGTGAAGCTAATTGTTGGAACAGCATGTGGGAGCCTGGTGGTTCCAGTAGTCACTCTGTTTGATGCAGTAAATGGAAGCCTTTGGCACAGAAAGCACCTGAAAGGCTGATTTCCCCCACTAAAACGCTTGAAGAGAGCCTTGCAACGATGAGCTGATCAATTCTTCCAGGATTTAATCTCTTTCCCAGAACTTTGCTTTGCAGCCTCTATTCCAGCTACCACGGCAGCTACAACCCCCACCGAACTGGCACCGATAGTTCAAAGCGCTGGCTCAAAGAAGGCAGGACAAACCTGCTCAGGCATTTTAACCTACTGCTGTTTTTGCAACTGATGCTACGGCATAAATCTCATGGAAGATTTATGGGATCATCTGGATGTAGGGGAGCCAGAGGAGCGTGAACATGCAACCATCCCCAGCCAGACGATGGCAGAGTCGCTTGTACGTGCACGGCAGTGAGTCCCAGATAAATCACCAGCCAGGCCCTGCAAACAAACCATCTGGCCAACGCGGTTTCCTCTTGGCGCGCCTGTCCCCTCCTGCTAGCAAGCCATCTGAGAGGACATTAGGGGCAGCGGGGGATGAAGCCTCGCGGTTTGGGTCAGGCTGCAACCACAAGCCATGGCAGCCGCTCCCCTCTGCAAGGTCAGCCTGCCTGTGCTTGGGTCCTGCACGTCTCACCCCTGCTCCCAAGAAAAGCACCTTCCCTCATTGGTCTCAGCAGCACATCTGGAGGCTTTCCAGCAAAACATGTTGGGCAGGATGTACACAAGCAATTACTGAGATTTCAGATTCCCTCTGCGTTTCCCCCTTGCTGGATATTGTTGACTTACAGCTGCTGCTCCTATGGAGGACCCACGCTGAATTGCCTTCACTTACATCCCTCCAAAGGTCACCACACTCTTTGTTGCAGATCTTGTTTCACGGTGTGTTTTAGTGGTAGCGCTGCAGCCCACCAGCAGCCACTTCTTGTCTGTCAAATCCCATAGGTGACATCTCTACTCTGGGCCCTGCCTGCTGCCTGCACAGCCCCAAATGCCACCCCTGACCATGCTGTGTCAGGGCTGGGGAAACGTTTCAGTGGGGCCTGATCCTGCTGTCCTTCTGCATCAGTCCTTGCCTTTCCCAGGGAGCGGATCAGCTCAGATCCCCTCATGACTGCAGGGTGCTCTGGTAGCAGGGGGATGGCAGCTGCATGAATATGCAGATTGAAATTGGATAGTTATTATATTTTTTTTTTTTTTTGGCAAATCATACAAATTCACCTCAAAAGGCTGCCGCTGTAATTTCAGTGACAGGCCTCTCCTCAATGACAGACTTTCATTTACGAAGGGAAATCAATCCTCCGTAAAACTAATATTTATATTAACTAGATCACTGCGTCTGCTGGAAAATCCCCTCAATTTTGATTATGTGTTAATTAGCCTGCCAAGTCCTTGCCATTTCAGTCTCTAAATCAGTCCGTGAAAAGGCATAAAACCCCACACCTGCCCAGAACCAAGCCCTCCACCTGCTCTTTGGAGCCGTTCTAATGGACGAGCCATTACATCCTTTCTCTTAATTAAGCCTCACATCCTCAACAACGCGGCGCAATTGCGAGTCACACTGCCTCCCCCTAGGAGTGCAGGGAGGGCACGGTGTCCCTGACAAACCAAATGCCAATTAGAGCCTGACATTTATGCTAAGTGAGCTGCTTACCACCGTGCCGCATCCACCGCCAGCCTGGCAGGCACCCTGCGTGCCCCTACATGAAAGGGTGTGCGCAGACACACCCGCACCCGGCGTTTGTGCACGCACAATTAAAGGCATTAACCGAGCCAGTGCTTCCACCGCACAGGCTGCACATTGCGGCTTGCTCGTGTGCGCACACTTTCCCGAATTGGGCTCTGTGACTCACAGGCTGCTAAGTCACTGCTGTGAAGCGACGGAGTGATGCACATGCTAAGATCTGAGAGACAGTGTCTTGCTTTCCAGAGAGCATTCCAGCCCGGTTTTATAGGCAGCGTGTGTCACTGGTGTTTGGGTCCAAAAAGTGACTAAGGACTCAGACAGGCGAGCATCAAAGAAACGGTTGAGCCCCAAAGGAATGGTGTCTTCTCCTCTGCCTCCAGCCCAGCCCAAGCGTGCTGGAGCTTTGCTGGCAATGCAGGGACAGACTATGGCCATGCTCATGCCCCTTCTCCCATGAAAGACAGTACAGGCACGAGGATGGCCACAGCCTGGCCTTAGCCCGCGGCCCGGGCACTCGCACAGTCCAGCCAATGCTCAGCTCCTGTGATCTGGGTGCTGGGGTGTCCCAGCTCTACCATGCTGTGAGCAGCCAAGGCACAAATGACATCTTAGGGTTTTCTGTCCTCACTGTGCAAACAACGGTCAGGAGAGCAATGTACAGCTCTGCTGAGAGGCAATCTGCACCACACATGGGGGGAGCAGGGAGAGACAGAGCCAGGTATGTGGTCTTCTTCCCACAGCATGCAGCTGCTCACTCGTTGCACAGAAGTGCTTGACTTTCACACCACCCCACATGCAAAACTCCCTCCTACTTCAAAGGGGACGGGATTGACCCTAGGGGTCAAAATATGTCCCCAAGGCACAAGCCCTGAGACTGAGTCTCATGAGAGTAAGTGCAGACCCAATTCAGTCCAGCCCTGCTCCATTAACACCATGAAAACGTTTCTGCTGGTTTGGACAGAATAGGATCAAGGCCTTCAGGCAGAAGTTCTCATGGATTGCAGGAAAAATATGAAACTTTTCCTTTTAAAGATCCCATGGGAAAAACACAGGAATGGTAAAGGGTCACCATCAGCTTAAAAACAGCTCAACATTTGTTTTCCTTAAAAAATAAGCTCTTAGGAAACTTCAGAGCACTACAAACATTCCTCTGCTGGAAACACTTTGAAACAAATAAACCTTTCCCTGCAGTGCCTGCAACCTGAATGAGCAGCATTCCTGACCCTCAAAGCCAGCAAGGCCACAGCCCACAACAGAAGGTCTTGGTGGGCTTTTGCAGCACAGCCCAAGAGCTATGTGGTCAGGAGAGCTGCAATCTTAAAACTGCTTCCTTTTCTGTGTGCATGTACAGCTGCCAACATCCAAACAGCACAGGGTTCATAATGCCGCCGTGGCTCTGACCCCGGCGCCGTGCTCACCCAAATGAGAAGCAGCATGTGGTAGAGGTGCGGACCTCACAGTGCTCTTCCAGGACCACAAGGTATTTACTTAATAACTGCAAGAAAAGAGGAGGGGAAAAAAAATAGGCTAACACATCAATTCCAGCTTTTCAGTGCTGGCTTATTAGCGTAGCATCACTGAGAACAATGCAAGTGCACCTACCAGCTAAGGATATGACCCAGGATCTTTACACCCTTCAGGATCAAAACCCCGGTGAAATTCAAAGACAGTGAAGAGTTGAGGTGCCCAAATTACCAACCCAGATTTATTTTCAGGTCTTAAGACCTCTGTTGACACCAATGGCACATTGCCATTGCATGCAGTAGGAGGGGGAATGAGACATTGAAACTTGAACTTGTTGCTCCTTGAAGCTTGCTAGGTGCAGCTAAGGGGAATCTTTCTACAGATGGGAAGCATTTGAAAATCCATAGAGGGAAAAATCCTGGCAATCTCTCATGGGGGCATGGAAAAGGGAGCAACAGTATTTTTTAGGCTTCTAAAGGGCATGGTAACAGCTGGAACCATGTTGGATTTCTGCTGAGTTGGGCACTTTGGGTCCACTTTCACCAACCGGGTCCCCCAGGCGTGTAACGGGAGCCTGCAGGAGAGGACGTGGAGCTAATCCATGGTGTGAACAGCCCAAGGAACACAGAGCTAAAAAAAGAAATGCAGAGCTGCCTGAAAGAGTATCTTGGAAATAAAAATAGTGGAATGAGAGCAGTGGGTGTCTTGTCAGTCTCGAGAAGAAGTTCTCCACGCCAAAGACAAGGAGGAATTGCATGCAGCGCATAAAATGAAATCGGGAGATATCTGAGGAATTCAGGCCTGTCTCTCAGCAGACTTTTCTAATCAAGTGCCTCACAGAGGATATTTCACCATGGTCATTTCCTTCCCCCTCTCCCTCTCATGCAGATTGAGCCAGGGCTCCTCCTCTCATTATTATTTTTTTCCCTTTTAATTTTAATTTTTGTTTTGCCATTTTCAGAAGAAATAGAAACACATCCCACATGGCCCTTAAAGGCGCAGCACATTTCCTTGCTACTGTGGAGCAGCCACAGCCTCTAGCCAGGGCCAGCACCTTTAAATCAGAGTAAATTGGGCTCCAGCGGCTTTGAGTTCCCGTTAGCTTTTGCCCTGCCCCTAAACCAAGCACAGCTGCTCTCCTTCACCCAACTGCTCACCCTGGGGTGGGGAATTCACAAGAAAAGACCACCCCGAACAAGGGCTTTTCATTCCTTGCTCCCTGGAGTCTGAGGATGAATTTTCTAAGTAGAAACAAAGTGCTGGAGGGAACGCAAGGGAAAGGCAGGGAAGAATGGGGGAGTGTGAACCAAACAATGCTTCGATTCTGTCCCTGACAAGGGGCCGGCATCGGCCTCTTTTTCATGTTTCTCGAGTTGCTTTTAAAAGCTGTGCGGGGAGGAAAAAAGCAAACAGTTGTTCCCTTCTGTGTCATGTCGTCTTAATTTCCAAAAGCAGGACCAAGCGAGGCACAGCAGCAACGCCTTTGCATGTCAGCCCCCCTGCAGCCCTGCGCTACATGGACAAGGCAGCAGCACAGCTGCCGGGAGGGTGCATCCCTGCCCGACCCAGCCAGGAGCTGATCCCATGGCAGTGCCAACAACCATCCCTCAGCCTGTGTCTGGTATCTGCTGCTCACTTCCTCCACTGCCATGGGCAAGTCACTTCAGCCCCTCTGGAGCTGCTACCTCCTCCCCTTCCTCTGCCTGTACAGCCTGTAACTTGCCGGGCTCCTGCCAGCAGCCCGATGGTGCTTCAGTGCCTGGCTCAGCACAGCACTGTAAGGGAGAGCTCTCCATGCTGGCACAAAACCAGATCACTGAACTCAGCAGAAAAACATCCCCCCGGCTGCACTGACGAAGTTTTGCAACTCATAACTAACTAGGAAAGAGAAGAAAAGGTAGAAGGGTAAAAAACAGAACTGCGAGCTGAGCTGTCTGAGACAGCACCAGGCTCTCCTGGGCTGTGCAAGCGCACAGACGCACACACGTGCACACATACAACAGAGTCTTCTAAGAAACTATAGCCAACTAATTGTAGAGAGACTCAGGGGAGAGGAAATGAAATGAAAAATTGAGTCTGAGTTATAAAAATAAGTAATTTTTATCCTACTTGCAGGAGGCTTATATTAATTAAACATTATTACAGTGAATGAGATGGGGAGGGTTATTAAGTCTGGGGCTGGTTGTAAGTGTTCTCTCCTGTTGCCTGAGGCTCCACAGAGCTCCAGATATTAATCTTGTAAAGCACTCAAATGCTGAAGAGATAAACACTTGAAATATGAAAATGTTTTTCTCCATAGCAGACACTGTGACCCTATGTCACGCCAAAGAATTTGTCAGATGTCCATATAGGCTGCTCTTACAGCATTACCGTGTCTCTTAGAAAAATGCTGGGCACCTCAGGAGCTGAAGAGAGAAATGATGTGTGCATTTGTGTGGGGGTGATTTGTGTGTGGAGATGTAGCAGATTCTCCTCTTCCCATATGTTTCTGGAATACATATTTTCCTCTTTAGCACTGCCTACCAGGTGTTGGCTGCACGGCTTTCCAACTGGCTGGCAGCACTGCCAATCTGGCCAGCGCCTCTGCCAGGTGGCTAACAGGTTCGCCTGAATGTTTGCATCTCGAGACTCAACCTTACCAGGGGGGAAGGGTGGGGAGGAGCCCACAGCATGCACAGCTCCCTGGGTACATGGCATGCAGGCACTGGAGTCAGGGCAGAGCTGAAGCCAGGTAAGATCAGCCAGCTTTCCTTGGGGAGCCCTTGAGTTTCATAAGCAATGAATGACAGTGAAGAGAAGTGATGTTATGGTGATGTAATCTACAGTTATAAGGAAACTGGCAAATGTTCTTTGTGCCACCCATGCCACAAAGTCAACAAGGGTAAGGAAAGGGCACTAGTCCCGGGGCGAGTTCCAAGATGTGAAGCTGAAGAACTTGATATATCAACCACACTGCTAGAGGCAGGCTCCCTTCCAACCCATGCCAGCACATCTCAGTGAGGTCCTCCACAAATTAGGCTCTGCCATGCTCATGCAAATCTCTGCTTCCAAAGCACAGAAGAGAAAAAGAGCAAAAGTCACACAGCAAGGAGCTGGCATATTTCTGCATTCTTAGGGCTTAGCTCATCTTTCACTTGGAGGAGGCTGAAATCCAGCCTATGCAAGCCCAGAGTGCAGAATAGCTGAAGACTATAGGCAATCCAGGCGACATATGGGAAGAAGAAATGCATCTCTAACAAAAGAGGAAATGCATTCTGGTGAAAAAGCATTGGGTCCTACAGAGGACATTTGGATCAGGATGTGGAACAAAGCCTGGGCTAACCTACATGGCCAAAGGGGATTCAAAGCCCAGTGTCCAATTCAAGGCTATCTCAAGAGGACAGTTAGTATGATTCAGTGCTAGGGGCCACAGTCCTATAAATAAGTCATGAACCCATAAAGCAAAGCATCTGACAGCTTCCACAAAAGAAAACATTGAGGTCTGCACAGCCTTCACAACTCTTGTTAGCTGTGCAATAATCAGTCATACTGTTCACACGGAAAAAGCCCCATCAGTTCCCTCTTCCCTGCTTTGGTACAATATTAACCACCTTACCAGGCACAGTCTCAGGGCTTGGTTCAGCGTTGCCAATCCAGGTGCTTGTAGGCTGAAAAGACCATGTATAACCCATTGCCAAGTCGTGTGACCAACCACAGAGGTCTTCAGGGAGATCAAAGTTGCAGTTGAAGTTTGCAGGGAGATGGAAATCTTATAAAAAGAAATAGAAGCAAAATAAAGTTGGATTAAAAAATGACCTACCCATGAAGGGTTGCTATAAAAAAAAAAAAAAAACAAGCCAAAAGTAAAATAGCTGGCAAGCCATAAATACTGAAGAAAGCATGAAATCTCACTCACACTGATGCTTTTAACCTATCTCACATTTCGTCAGCTCCAGGGATCAGCCTTAAGTTCTGCATCATCAAAATGCTCATGCCACGTCCTGCGGCTAATCCACCAAACTAAGCAAATATAAAAGCAAGTACCAAATGCTTCCAGACTCTAATCAGCACCTTCTCTTCATCCCCTAGAGCGGTCAAATATTAAATGCCTTCTTAAATGTCAGGGAAGAGCGCTTCCTGAGTGCCCTGTGCTCATCAGCCTGTGCTCTGGCTCCAAAAGGAGAATCTCAAGTGCTCCAGAAACCCAGCTCCTGAGTGACAGATCTAGCCACTTGCACCAGACGGGAGCTGTCTGTCAACGTGGTGAGCTGTCACTCACCACTTCCTACCTTCTCGTGGAAATGCTACCAGGGGAAACGTGGGGGCACCAGGAGCTCAAGCTTTTGGATTCTGAGTGAAAGGAGCCAGCCTCTATTTCTAGCTCCACTACGGACTCGCCACATGGTCTTTGGGCGAGTTGTTTAACTTTTCATCTGTGAAACAGGATCAGAGCTAATTCCTCTGTGTCAACAGCTTTAAAAGCTCTGGAGAGCCTTCCTGCAGAGACGGGTCTGTGGGCAGGAGGGCACATGCCAGGGGCTGCATGTAGCAGCAAGGCAGCTGCTGGCTCCTTCGGTCAGGGAAGCAACCATAAGGCATGGAGGCTGCAGAAATGGTCTGAGATCATCCCAAGAATGTCAGAGCCTAGTTATAGGCTGGGTTTTTCCTGAGCAAAGGGGAAGTTTTAAATCACAGTGCCCACAGAGTGAGTGATAGCCAGAAGGAGGTGAGTGACTCAAGCAATAGGCATCAGGGGAACTTTGCTGTGAGGGGCAAAGGGCCTTCTTTACATGCTCCCACTTTGAAATAAAACAATGCAGATTGAAATAATCTAATCTCATACCCTGGAGAGCCGCATTGTTTCTGTTTGGCTGTCATAAATCTGATTGTCCAGAGAAACACACTCATTGTTTATGGAGTATGAGAATGAAAATTGCTGCTAAATCTGAGGGAAGCTGATGGGGAGGCTGGTTCCACGCTCCACAGCATACCCTGCTCACTCTCTTGCCCTGGACTGCACCCAGGAATCGTGCTGTTGCAGAGACTATTACTGGCCTAAATTTCCTGTCAGCAGCTTCCCAAGTGCCTCAATAGCAGCAGAATTGCATAGGCTTATCACTAAGGCAAAGCAATGAGAATCAGGCCCTTTGAGCTACTTCTACAACTTGCATTTCCAGAACTGAACTACAGCAGAATCCCAATGCGAGGTGTGAAAAAGCCAATTAATGTTCTTTTTTTAATTTATGTATTTTAAAACCCATTAATTTTTCCTCTGGGACTGGAAGCTGAAGTGACAGAAGTCCTAGGAGCTATCTCAAAGGATAACTTTTCTTCCTGAAATTTCTCATTGAAGTCGTCGTGTAAACGCCCAAGCCCCAGTGCTGAGGCCCAGGCTCTGCTGTTGTGCCCAGGAGTGTGCATCTCCTGCACACCGCGCTGTACAATTAACCCTGCACAGCCCTTCCATGCCCACTCCCCCTAATCTGGACATGTCACAAGCTTTAGATGCTCATATCCCGCCTTGCAAGGAGCAGAAGAATATGAAGTCTGCTTTTACAGGTAGGGATCTGAGGCAGAGAGCATTAGTCGCCCCCAGCATTGGCTCTTCCCAAGCACAGCATGTAGTCTAAACTAACATTCAGCTTCTTCTACAGTCAGAAGAGGCAGGCAAGTGCCAGAGACATCAAGCCATTCCCTGTACATCTGACAGCCATCTAAGACTGGGGGGACAAATTCCTGCCTGGAGTTACTGTTCCCCTCTCTCTGCTGCCTGCACAAGGAGCCCAGATTGTCCTCCTAAATTTTAAGCAGCTGGTATTAGGGAAGATGATGCTTAAGAGAGAGGTGTTCAGGACATCAGCCTTCTCTACATGTTGTGATTTACTCCCACAGTTGTGACGTCTGCAAAAGGAGTCCTGCATACCAGGCAGTCTGAATCTCTCCCCTGAATCACCTTCTGAATTTATGACACCCAGCCAAGGGGATCTGGAACGGAGGTGGCTCTAAACAAGGCACTAAGTGAGTTGCTTCAGGTCATGTAAGGAAGCTGGGAGAGCAGCTCTTTGAGTCTCATACCCTAGGGACAGAATTAGCTGCTATCTCTTGCTCTTGCATGCTTCCTTGATATAACTTATCAGATTTGGCAAGTTTTGTTTGTTGGGTTTTTTAATCTTGGCCTACTACTAATAATATTAGTATATTATTAAGCTTTCCAGGAATCAGCTCCATGTATAGGAGCAAATGGGAAGATAAGAGTATTTGCTTAGCTCTTAACTCATCATTTATTGAGATAAAGATGTGCTGCTCTGATACATACCCTCTTCTTCTCCACAGCTATCACCACACTCGGTTGCCTCTTCATCAGTTGGGTATGGGGTGGTGGTGTCTTCGCTCTTCAAAGTGGGCACCAGTGTCTCTGCAGTCGGCTTTACATCTGAAAAACAAGGACTAGAGATGCTATTTGCAATAGACAGTACAGAAAGCCCAGGTAGGAGGAAACAAAGCAAAAATATTTTTTCTCTTGTTCTTATAATGGCAGGAAGAGATAGAACGAGAATACCATGAAATTTCTACATGCTACAAATGTCAGCGTGGTTTGAACTTCAAGTGAACTGGCTGCTTCCATATGGGAGTTCCTTTGATTTAGAGTCCTGTTGGACAAGACTGTCTTCTAGACATACATGCTACTTTTTCTCTTAATTTTTTAATCTACGCTGGTGTTGCCAATCCACTTAGCTGTCGTTACCAGATAAGAGAGATCACAGGCAGAATGTCTTTTTCTTTCATAAAGGCATATGACATGTTAAAAAACCACACACAACATTCCCACCAATCGTGCCAATTTATAAAACAAGTCACTCAAACCCACAAATGACGTAACCGCAAACGGACCCAGAGGATCCCCTAGCGCGCTCTGGCTCGCTGCAGAAAGCATCTGGTTTCACACTCCAGGCTCCTGACTACACTTTCAAAGTGTCTCTGTCCAATTTCCCTCTCTCCAACATGGCCCGTGTGAAACAACCTCCAAGCAGGTGTCAGGGGAAATTTAAGCAAGAAAGGGAAGGATATTAAGATCAACAGTAAACGACATTAGGTTCCAGCAGTCTCTCCTTTTATGAGTACAGCAGGCTTGATTCTTTCCACTTTTAAAAAGAGGCTGCTTTGCTCAGTTATGCGTGATTGTGTTTCTTTGTCGGTACCCTTCAGGATATCATTTAATAAAGCCAGAAGCAGGAGGAAATGGCTAAATACATTGAATATTTTCCATAGGCTTCTTTCTGCCCTTTTATTTTCCTGTTATTAAACATGTTGCACATAAATTCTCAGGGCTTTTTTTTACTTTTTTTTTTTCTTCCAGTGGCTGTCTTTTGTTCAGGATAAAATACCAAATAACCTCAAAGTCTTTTAATTTGTAAGTTTAAATTTGTTACAACCCCATAAAACTCTGAGCACAACCAAGAAGCAAATTGCAAGCAGCCAGGCACAGAAAAATGTCGTAAAAAAGAGAAGGAAAAAAAAAAGCAGCAGGTGAAGGCAACATATCAAAAGCTGCAAGCTATTTAGAGCTGGTACAATTTTTTTAGGTTGTTGTTCTTGTATATTGAGATTTATAGCTGAAATGTGACAATGTGGAAGGACCTTGAAAGCCAAGTCCCATACAGGACACAGATGCTGAGCGGATGTAAATCAACAGTGTTGCATTGCCCTGGACAAGCCGCAGAAATATATCTTGAAAAATCAGTTACCATGGCAGAGCCGCAACACGATGGTTACAAGAGATAATGAAAATAGCAGGGAGGACAACGTGATGTGTGAAATGGAAAGTGAAAAAGAGAGGTCTTGCTTGCTCGCTTTCTCTCTCCCTGGCCCAGCAAGTGTCTGTGCAACTGGTGGTAACTGCTGATCAAAATGCAAAGTCACTGAGCAATTGAAACCAGATGTTTGGAACTTCAAAGCAGAGAAAACCAGCTGCAAGTGAACATTCATCAATCTCCACTCTTCAGAGGAAAAATTTTGGCAGGTCTTTGAAAGAAGTCAATTGCTGACTGCCTGCTTCCCAATTTTTGAGCTACTAGCCAACTAGTTTGTGAGCCCAGTTGCTGTTAAGTTACCTGTTTGACTCAGTAATTAAGATGCTCCTTGCTGACAAGAAATAAAAACAGCTGGGCAGGGTAAACATGGGCTTAGACCCTCACTTGAAAATATTTTCAATCAGCTTGTTTTAATCCCTCTCTTAATCTTGTTCCCAAGCAAGTGCAATTGCCTGGGTTTTCACAGCCAGTTTTGTAACGTGCCTGGGTCCTCCCAGCAAAGGAGAGCTGTGTCTTGGCGTTGTCAAGGACTGCTGCATGTAGCCAGCCTGGATTTAGCATGCAGATAATGCCATGGGCTATCTCTGCTCCCCAGGTTGCATCAGGGATATAAATACTTTTTATAACACAGTGAATCCACAAGATTACAAGCCCTGCTCTGATTACAAAGCTGAATGCCTGTAGATCAATAAAGCTACGAATATTTATGACTTGGCAGTTGAGTTTTAAACATTACAATGTGCAAATGATTAGACAGCCACACTGGGAAATGACCATAAAGCACCCTGCCCGGAAAAAACATGGGCTGTTGCTGCTGATATTGAAACTGAACGTGGACGTAGCTGTGAAAGAAAATTTGGACCAAAACTAGCACGAGAAATTGAGGATGCCAAACCCCTCTTTTTCTCTGATTTGCAATGGAGTGCAATGGAGGGGCTGACGTGTACATGGTCAGAGGTCTTGTGTGACCACCTCCCTTTGTGGCAGTGATGCAGAGCTGTGATGCACCAGCCAGCAGTGGTCTGCAGAGATATAGCAGCTGGAGATTCCTGGGACCCGCTGGAAGCAATGATGCAGAAGCTGCTTGACCACTTCTGCATGGAGCCTCAGGTCCCACTGCTTGCATGAAAGCCACGGCGCCTGCTTCTTCTACAACATCCCAAAGATGTTGTAAGACTTAAATTAATATCTAATCTTGATTTAAAGTTTAGATCATTTAAAATGGATTCCCAGTCCAGGCAGAGATTTGCCATTGACTTCAAAGGTGACAAACTATCATTATTAACTGTGTGCAAGTGTGTTCTGTGATTTACTATTAAGCGTTCATAATGCATCTCACAGCACATCACAGGGTGAAGGGGTAGTAAAGGCTCCACGAAAGGGTGGAAAAAGCTCTTTGTCTTTTAAGCTTCCTAGAATGGGAATTCTTACAAGAAAATGCCTTCTACAGATGTGTTTATAAAATGGAAATCATACGTCTTTATCACTGACATCTGGACACCAGATTCAGATTTAAGCAGATTATTAAAAAATAAAAGAGATTAGAAAAAGGGACAACTAGCCCCTGGCACTGAAAACCTAGCATCAGACACAACAAGCTGTTGGGTGCATTTTTGCCTTTTGGGGATGAAACTATGGAGCAACCAATCACCACTGAGCCTCAAAAGGGTCAGAGGCACAACCTCTACTGATCCCAGTGAGTGTGTTAAACAGTTTTCACTTCTGTATTAAAAGTAATGGTGGCTGCAAGGCATACCACTTGTGAAAAACAGGTGGACAAAAGTGGACAAACTTCCCTGGTCTTAGGGATGTTGTAGAGACGTCATAGAGTCAAATCCCCAAACTTGCCTGCAAAAGTATTTCCACATGGGGTTCAATGAAGGAGGAACAGTTGTTTTTACAGCAAAACCTTATTGTGGCAGCCCACTGTAGGAAGTGTACTGGTCACTGCACTCCTCTTCTGCACCTCTGCTTCTCTTCCTACTTTTGCCTTATCCATTTGGATTAAAAAGTCCAAGTGTTATCTAACATGGAGAGTGGGAAAGCCTGCACAACATCCAGTTAAAAGTTCTGAAAGGAGGGAGAAGGGAGTTGGGGACAAACCCCGCATGGGTCTCTGTGCGAAAGCTTGGATTGGGGTCCAAACATTGCTGCTACAAGCTGCGTCAAGGCCAGTTCCTTTTAAGGTGGAAGTTAAAAGATGGGCTTAGGCCACACTGCAGGTCCTGCCTTCATGGCTGCAGTCTCCTTGACACAGTACAGCCCTGAGGTAGGACAACAGGGAGAGAAATCACCTTACACTTGCACCTCGCTGGTTTAGTGCCCGCCACGGCCCCAGTGGAGCTGGTGGGCAGTCACTGGGGCTCCTACCTGTCCAGTCACAGCCCAGCACCTCCAGGCGCATTCCTATTCCTGCTTGGGACCACCTCTCTGGGTGCACTCGGACATACTGGGCAGGAACAGGGTCAAACCTCCGGACTTCAGGGATATCATAGTGGATGTTGCCTTCAAAAAGCTACAGAGAGAGAGAGAGAAAGAGAGAGAGAAAAGGCAAGTGATGTGTGCATCCCACATGCTTTCCACCAGACTTTGTAATTTGGGTCTGGCAGGACACAGATGCAGTCTGAAATAGTTTAGCTGTCCGACTCCAGGCCATCGAGTCCAGCTGAGCAGAAATTGGGCTGTTCCTCCTCAGTTTCAAGAGGACCAGACAGGCTGTTTCTAAGAAACTTGCACAATCTCTCTTGGCCTCTGCTTTATATCCAGGGGTCAGATTCTGATCCAAGCCACACAGGGGAAGCCGGGGGAACATCCACTAACTTCACATATAAATAAGATCAGATTTGTCCTTTGGCAAATAAAGAAGCTACTGCTTGTTCTAGGATAGTGTAAACGCTCAGTTTTCCTCACAGTCCAAGTACTGCTGCTTTTCAGCTTACAAGCACAAACTCAGGTCTGTGGGGAATAAAGAGAGTGCTATAGATAGCATCAGGCCTTCTAAGACTCATTTGTGGGGTCAGAAAAAAATTAAAACTTACCCGAATTTTCAGAAGCAGATGAATTTGCATAAAACCAGAACAGGCAGTAGCATAAAATTCATTTATTTTCAAGCTTTCTGCCACTCCCATACCACTAGCAGAAAGACTATGTGGAACTCCAGTGATGCGCGAAAAGCATGGGGAATTTCAGGGTCACATCAGCGTGGCAAAAGGGACTTCAGATATAGCAAATTTCCCAAAGAGAAGTTGTGATTTATCTTCCTTTTCCAGAGGTGCAAGCAATAACAGCAACACCTTTCTCCATTAAATATGCAATTAGTTTGTGTCAAACATAGTTGAACACACCATCTTGTAGGCTCTGACCTGCAGGAGCTGGGAGGATCAGAAGGGGATGTCCACATCCCCAGTCCTGGTCCACAGTAAGAAATGAAGGGAAACTGCCATCCCTGGGGCAAGGTGGAACCTACACCCTCTAGTACAGCTTAGGAGCAGGACCAGGGGATACCACCTGGAATTTCGTGGTGACAACCCAAACTCACAAGGTCTCTGTGGGGAGAGACAGCTAATTTCCCAAGACCTCATCAGGCAGACTAAAGACAGCTGGAAACGTATCTTGTTTTGCAGCTGCACCAGGCAATGCCTACCTTGGCTTGCATTGTTTTGGGGTCCTGGATGAAGTCCCAGTCCTTTCCATTCATGCTGTAAGCCACCTTAAACTTCTTCACAAAGGAGCGGGACTCAGTGGTCGTCATGCTGTCCCCTCCACGAGCCCCCTGGATGATGACTCCTTTGATATTCTTTGGTATGCCAAGGTCCACCTGCAGCCACTCCTCCCCAGGCTGGGCTTGAGGGACACGGGGAAACCAGCCTGAGCGACTGCTCACCAGGCGAGCCATGCTGGGAGACCAGTCGTAGCTTCTGATGGAAGAGGCTGAGATCTGCGAGTCAGGGATGAGGCCAGAAAGCATTCCCAGCAAGTTGGAGCACGGCGAATCTGCAGGGAAGGAAAGGGCATGAACAGCTGGGGCAGCTGAAGGGAGCGCTCGTGGGTTTTCTCACAGGTTTAAGCTCTGGACACTAAACCAGCACAGCACTGGGCACTTCCCCCCTGCCTCCGGGACCTGGGTACCTGTCCCCCCAAGTGCCCTTGGGACAGGTACCTGCATGCTGCTTACAGTGTCACCATTCCCACCTCAAGCAGCCATGACAGCTGCAGGGGACAGCACCCCAGAACAGGCTGTCAGAGGGACAGAGAGGAGGGCTGAGGCTGAGGGGAGGAGGTGACCCTCACCGGTGATGCGGCAGCCATACAGCTCCAGCCTCAGGGCGATGCCGTTGTGCCAGCTCTGGGGACGGATGCGCACAAAGCGTGTGAGCACCGGGCTGTGGATCTTGTTGAGAACCACCTCTGTGGCATCCTCGTTGGCCTGAAATGTCTGGAAGAGAGAGGGGGCACAAATATGGTTATGTCCTTTCCAGGTAGAAAGAAATAACCAGATTAGCAGTCAAAATAATCTCAGCAGCGAAAACCTAAGGAGAGGCTTTCTGGGAAGGGCCCGCCTCCAGCCAGGGCAAGCACCCAGGGGCAGGCAGGGAAAGCTGAGCCACTGGCAGGATAGCATGGTAGGTGGATGGACTCGCCCATCAGGCAGAAGAACCAGGAGCTTGCTGCTCTGCTGCCTCTCATGGCACCTCAAGGCACCTTGGTCTGTCAGGCCACAGCTGCTTCGACCTCACCCCCAAACCTAGAGCCTCTCCAATGCAAAAGGCCAGATGTCCCTGAACCCTGCGTGAGATCTTGGCTCCCCTCCGTGGGCAAATGGGCTGACATCCTGACACATCCTTGCACCGAGCTCTGCTGGGAAACATTGTGTGCAAGCAGTGGCATGAGCAGGGAGGATGCTGCCTCTGCCTGGGGCAACGAGCCGCCATCCCAGCCAGCCCTGCCTCTCCGGCGCACACGCAGCCCACCACGCAGAGACAGCTTTTCGGGGGAGTTTTATGATCCGACATGATATGAAAAGGCTGCTGCCTTACCAGATGGCCATAATCAATAACTACCAGATGGACGTTAGATCTACCCCTCCTTCCCATTATTTTAATAGGCCGGACCAGGACTGGATACTTGTGTTTCTTTTTCAGGCTGCAGAGCCATAGCAGGGAAGAAAAGGGGGAAAAGAGGAAATACGCAACCTGAGGGTAATTTTCAACTTTTTCTCTGCTCCCAGTGTAAAGCACTAAAGCTCACAGACTGAGGCTGCAAGGTGTTGCCCACTTTCCCTCCAAGCACACAGGCTTTCAGGACAGGGCTAGAGCATCCTCCGATCTCAGCCAGGAGCCACATCCCCACTGAGATGTTGGCTGGGCTCTTCTGCAAGCTCCTACCCTGCATATGCCGTGCTAAGCACAGGAGCTCCCACTAAGTTTATCTCAGAGCGAAGCAGGAGAGTGTAATCTCTGGCACCAATCTCCTGTCAGAGGCAAGAGTCAAACAATTCAACTGCAGATCCCTGTGATCAAGGACAGAAAAAGGGGTGAGGCTGTATCCTAGCCCCTCTCCTTAAATAGCGGTGAAGAAGCATTTTATAAGTCTCCCACTAGTCTAGGTCTGCAGACGGCACATGCTACTGCTCTTCTCCCAGGATCCAGCACGCCAGGGTGCACAGAGGGTGTTCGCAGAGAGGGACAGCAGCTGTTCACAGCACCACAACCAGCTCTGGGCTGCCCCTGTGCGTTGCCCTCCAGCCCGGGATGGCAGCGCTCCCAGCAGGGCAGGGAGAAGCTGCCCCACAGAAGGCCTTGGTTGCAAATCTGGCCGGTAACTGGGATTTGGGGATGATGTGAATTTGAGCAGAAATGCTAATCTGGAGAATATACATCATGCTGCTACCGTTTAGCAACACAGCATGGTTTATGTGTTTTTAATATCCTATTTTATCCTGTCTGACCCCACTTCCCATTCTTTTCCTTACTCAGCAGACACCAAATACCCTTTTTTCCAGCAGGAGGGCTGTAAGAAGAGTGGTTACTGTGAAACACTCTCCAGGCATGCGTGTGTGTGTCTTGTAAACCTGTGGGAACACACACACCACACACACAGGCTGAAAGGATACATTTCTACACCATAGCAAAGCCTCCAGCTTTATGTCAACACAGGAGCTGACACACAACACCTTACCTCTGAACTTAACACCGGAGGACAGGAAATGTTTATCTGAGCCGGTGCAACTATTTTAGCATAAGGAGCAGCATGTCAGGTCAGCCCAAAGGTCCCTCTGTCCCAGGGGGCGGCTCCTGATGGTGGCCCCAGCAGATGCCTGGGGGCAGCAAGCCTGGGGGAGTCTTCTCCTGGCAACCTCTCTTCGCTTCCCACAATCAGCAGTTTGAAGACTCCATGAGCCAAAGGTTGCATATGGACCAGCATGTTTAACAGTCACTGATGAGGTTTGCTGCTCTTTTTGGTTTAACATATTTCCAGTTTTGTTCTTTTTTAGCTCACTTCGCACATACGAGCATCAGGGGCCAGAATCCAAATTTACACCAGCGTAATTTGTTGCTGACTTCTGCAAAGTCAAGCTTGACAGAAAGCAGAAGCAGGACTGAGCCCAAAAACTTTATCACTACCACATGCATTGCTGAAAGCATCTCTTACACGACCTTAGTCCCAACCACCTGCTTCCAGGGAGAGCAACCTCAATTCTGCTTTAGATTTGGGGCCCCGTAATTTCTTTAGGCTGGATCACGTTCAGCAAGCTACGCAACTCAGAACTGGGGCCTTGACACTCTGGACTGCCAGTTTATGAGGGCAGAAATGGCACCTGACTTCCAACTCCTGTATCAGCTGCTTTGGCAGGACCTCCCTCAGTGAGCCTTGTTTCTAAAAAGCCCCAAGTGATCATAGCAAATCATTGTTTTGCACTCCGTTCAGCATGACAGCAAGGGGCCATTTTCAGAGGGCAGGTGCATAGTGGTGTTAGAGAAGCGGGGTCCTTCTGCATGCCTGGCCATTCAGCCTCCTTCCCAAGTGGAAATGCACCATAAGCCTGTGGGTCCTAAAGCTGCTGACCAGGGTCTGACCCTGAGTGTACGGTTCCTCTGCACTGAAAATGCCGACCCCAGAGCCCGAGTGCACCGTGGAGAGAGGCCCATTGACTTGAACAGGCTCTACATCCTGCCTCAAATTAGCACTCACGGCATAGGAAGAACTAGCAGGAAAATGTGTGAAACTGGGAGCGCCAAGAAAGCAAAGATTTCTTCCCCCTTACCAAAATAGAACATTGCTATTCCTCCCATCCTATCTGCTTCCCATCCCACTCAGCACATATTTTGAGCCAAGTCTTCGAATGGTGTAAATCAACATATCGCCATCGAAGTATAAGAAGTCACAGTAATTTACACCAGCAGAAAAAAAAATCTGGCTGCGATCTAAGGAGATAGATATATACACACTCAGCAGAGAGCACACATACGCACGCGCATGCACACGCACACACGCTGAAGGATGATGGAGCCAGAAAACAAATAGGAAAACCATTAACAAATTAAAAGCACCTTCCAAGAAGCAGCCAAGGGAACCCATTTTCCCTGCTGCATCAAAAAGCTGCCCATCCCCATCCCATATACTTTACGTCTACTTCCATTTTAGTCCAGTCGGCAGGTCTACACATAAGATTAAATTGATAATCAATGAAAGCTGACCTGCTTAATTAATTTGCTGCAGAAAGCAAGTGGTGGGAGATGATGTCTAGGCTAGAGGAGGACTGGGCAAGTTTTCCATGTGCACACACATGCAGGCTCCACACCAACACTTACAAGTCATATTCCTGACACATTAGAACCGCTGTGGGGTGATGGGGGGATTTTTGAAGCTGCATTAGTTTCAGTGGGTATGGGAATTGTGCCATTGGCAGAGTTTAGAGTGAAGGGAGTGAAGGACAGGGAGACAAAAAGCACCGTGAAGTCGAAGAGCCAGTGACTCAGGGAGAGGGCAGGAGGTAACCTCTCCTGCTTTATTTATTGTGCTGCTTGGCCACTATGCCATTTCTTGGGGAGCTACAGAAAGCGGCTGGGGAAAGCAGAGGGCAAGGCCAAGGATGGCAGCAGCCCTGCCTTCGTCCGTATGTATGTGTCTCTCTGGACCCACTAGATTTACTGCAGGATTATGTTTCTCCCGTGGAGACAAGAGCCCTGGAACAGAGCATGCTAACAGGATTAGGGCTTCAGGATTTAGACAGAGAAGCATGAAGGAGAAAAGTAGGGGAGATTATTTTCCTTGTCAGATAGGGAAGGCATAAAATGGGGCATGTTTGATGGTGGGAGGATTCTGGCTCGAGTGGAGGGTGGATAGTTCTGGATTTATTAAATCCAGGAACAAGGAGGTAAAAGAAAAATGATACTTGGCAACACTCAATGAAGCACAGACATCTGGGCAAGGCACAGCGTGCTGGGCCAGGCTTGCCAGCACCGTGTCTTTGAGGGGCTCCACTCAGATCTCAGAGTCACCAGAGACACGAGGAGTAGCACTCTGTTAGTCTGCAAAGGAGATAGCAGGCCCACAAGTACAAAGCTGCAGTCTTGCTAGGAAAGCCAGGGCTGTAATTCTCCCCTGGTACTGCACCAACACTGAATGCACGGGGTTGCCTTTCCCAAAGCCTGACATCTTTGTCCTGCCTGCAAAACCAGAAGAAGCAGGCTGGGACATGGGCATGCTTCTGGGAAAACCCTCTGCACCATGATGTATCTGTGCAGAAGCACTTGCGGCCTTCTGGCTGATCATGCAAGTGTTTCCTGAGTTTTCCAGATAAAGAAGCCACAGGACTGAAAGCTTTTCTCTGCCTCCCCAGGTGAATGAACACAGGAGACCTCATTAAGAACTGAAAGGACAGAGGAATGCTCCTGAGGGAAGGCACAAGGGTCTCCAAGGAATCATCCTCAAAATTCTCTGCCAGCACCAAACACCTCTGATGTCCCCAGCTCCATGCACAGCAGAGATATTCAGCTCTTTGCAGCAATTCAAACTGCCTTCTTACATCCACCTGAAATACCACCCAGGAAGGTTAGCTGATAACAAGCACAAAGCTGGCAAAATAAGTAGGAAATGGAAAAATGCATATCAGCTGGATCTTGCTGCCATTTCTCATCCATTGACTTCTACAGGTTCTCAAAGCAAATGTTTCAGTTGCATCCTCCCATTTTACACACAGACCAATGGAGGCAGCGAGAGCACCCATCACATTCCCAACCCACCCTAAATACTGAAACCCATCCCGTCTCCGAGTCCCTCGCCACACTAGATGATCCCTGTGAGCTGATCTCCACAGTTACTAAGACGGAGTGGCTCAGACCACACGGGCGCTGGAACCTGAGACCCTACAAAGAAGGAAGTGGATCAGAATGGATGAGCACTTTGTTTTCCAATAAAACCATTATAGTTGAATTTGCCTGAAGAAAATGGCCAAAAACAAAAGGTCAAATCCTGCCAGGTGCTCTTTTCCTTCCTTGGGTTCAAGAACGAGTTGTTGTTTTCTAAAGACATTTGCAAACTGCTAGATAAGATCTCGGCGTGCACACCAGGGTCAGTGCCTGGAAGATAACCTCTGGGGCCATCGACCCTGGATGACACAGAGGGGGATGCAATAGGGAGGGCAAGAGCCAGCTCAGCCTTTCTGGGGCAGGGGTTGTTTGGCCCTGTCCCAAGGGGATGCGCTGGTAGGTAGTAAGGGGCAAATGTGGGGCAACATGTGGTGGTGGCCATTCTCCTCCCCATCTCCTCTCTTGGGGGACGCACAGGAAGACAGCCCTGCACCTTTGGCCAGGTCACTGGGTTAGCCTCTCCCCTGGGTCCCACACCCCGGGCAGGGACAGAACATCACCCCCTGGACAGGGGGATATCTGGGGTGGGCTGGGCTGGGCTTTGTAGGTAGCGGGCTGCCAGGCAGGGGGAAAGCCCAGCAGGGATAGGGTGGGAAGGGGAAGGTGTGATTGTGGGGCTCCCCTCCCGCTGTCTGCAGACCTGCTGCTGCATTCCCACTGCCTCCCCATCCCAGAAACACAACAGTGCTCGGTATGGAAACGGCCCAGCCAGCCCTGTCTGCTGCAAGCACATATTAATCTTGTTTTCCTCTGCCTCATCCTGCCTTTCCCATTTCCCTTGCCGTGAGTGCCAGTGGCTGGGGACTCAAAGGTGAGCCATCACATTTTGCAGGGAAACACTCTGGCCCCACTCTCCTCCGAAATACTGGAAGGAGGGGAAGCGGGGGGGTGGGGTGTGAAAGGGAGGAGGTCAGAGCTCCCCATCCTCTGCAGAGAGCATCACCCCCTCCCCACCCCTCCTGCAGTTGCTGGTTTTCTCTTGCTTTAGTTCCCTGATGAAGATGTAAATGTTAGCTGACCCGACCCGCCTATAACATGGCAGAGGTTTGCTTTTGGCCCACACAGCCAGCAGAAATTCAGAGCAGTGTTTGATATACCCCATATGCCTATGTGTGCATGTGCATATATATATGTATGTGTATATATATATATACTTACATATCTGCATGTATATAGAGGAATAGAGTCCCTGTCTGTCCACCCCCTCCCCTTCCTCCCCGCTCCTCATGGCACCAAATCAAGCTGCGGCAGACTTGACAAATCTATTTGGCATGGTTCGCTCCACCGTTGCAGCCTGAACCGTGCGGAGCACTGCACTGACGCAGGGAGAAATCTGCACCTTGAATACAGACGTCTGGGAGCTTGCCTAACGCAGGAACAGTGGGGATTCACGTGGGCGGGGAAAGCAGGGCCAGAGCCCCCCAGCACCAGGCCCATGACTGGGGGGCTTTGCCCGGGCTTCGCTGCAGCTCAGCAGCTGGTGGCCGGTGTTTCGGCAGGGAGGGAAAGCAGTCACCAGGATGCAAGGGGTAGGCGAGCCACCAAAAAGCAATTACTTATTCTCCAGCCTCAGGAAGTGTCTGCAAAATTGAGGCCAGAATATGGGAATGAAGTGAGGCTGGAATAAAGGAGTAAAAAATGAGAGGTTTGATTTTCCTCTTTTTTATGAGGTGAGAAAACAGAGCAGAAAAAAGCTGATAGGACTCAAGGGCCAAATCATGAAATGGTGGCTAAATCATACATGTGGCTATGGAACAGCTTTGGGTTGACACCAGCCAGGCTTTGGGGTCTCGCTGAAGCGATGTAAATTGGCCCAGCTGAAACCAGCCATGCTGTCCTGCTCCACCCTGGTTGAGGATCCAGTGTCCAATGCCTGGGACTGCAAGGACAGGGCATCTACTCTCCCCTGTGACTCAAACCACCCCCCAGGCCAGATTCCTTCTCCAGTTAGACTCCAAAAAGTAAATTTATTGCCAGAGGTTATTTGAAACACTGAACTGTGTATTTTGCCCATCATTCTGCCTGGCATGTTGCCAATCTCCTGTCTTCCTTGACCTGCAGAAAGACCCCTTCTTGCAGGAAGATCTCAAACTCACCCCTTTCCATGGGCTGCCTAGGGTGAGGAGAGACAGAAGTTCACAGAAAGGTCTGCCAGGGCCAGTGGGTCCCAGGAGAGCACAGAGCCTCCACACCAGTGCATGGCCACTGTGTTACAGCTATACATGAGCTCTGTCATGAGCTGTGGCCCTAGAGCCAGCTTGCCTGAGGTCTGGAGGAGCACAGCTGCTGACTCTCCTATGGGGTGCTGAGCTGCCCTGTGCCTCCATTTCCCTACCCCTAAAATAGGACTAACACCACCTCACTGGCATGTGAGAAGCTTAAATACTCCAAATATTGCAGGTATGAGACCCTGCTAGGGGCCTCTGCAAAGAGAGGACTCATTCTGGGAAGCAGAGTGAATTTGAATCATTAGACACACTTGCGGGGAAGGGGAAATCACACGGCCCGGAAGGGAAGGAAATGTCTGGATGAATCCTGGACAAGGCAGACTACTGCATTTCATGCCAGCAGTGCCTGTGCCAGCAAAGGGAGGGGACAGCTAATTTAACAGAAGCGCTGAGCAAGTAGAAATTTCTGGGCCATGCGTGCTGGGGGAGGTGTGTGGGACCCCAGCCACCAAGTTCATGCAGACAGATTGTAGCACAGCAACGGGGAGGACCTGAGCCATGGCAGCAGTGCTGGAGGGCACCACAGAAGAGCAGGGAAGGGCTTTCCTGAGGTGCCCTTAACCAGGGGTCAACCACAGGACCAAGGCAGGTCACAGAGCAGGACCAGCCCAGAACCATGGCTGCCTTAACCTCCTCTCCCCATATGCCAAAGCTCCCATGCGGACCACCTTGAGCTTGCCTCACCTGGCCATGCAGCAACATATGCAAGGCTTAGAAGGGCTGAACACCCATATTTACCCTCCCGCCTCCTCACTCCCACCTCTGCGTGTCTCCCAGAAACACAGCAAGAGCATGCAGCAGCTCCCAGGGCTCAATGCATCTTTGCCGACCATGCCTGCTAGCACAGATCCCACAGCTCTGGCAGCCTAAATTGCTCCTCATTATTTATTGTTCATTTTGTTCTCTGGGATGGTGCGATCCCCTCTTAAGATTTGTGCCCTTTCATTTCCAGGCCTCAATAACTCCTGAACTACAGTTTCATGTGGTTTTGTGATTGTTAACCCAGCATGCAGACAGGGCTACGGCCATAAAAGCTCAATGAATCTTGTGTGGCAAAACACAGGCTGTGAAAGCATTTTCTCCTTCATTTGCAGTCAAATAACATACTCTCGCCACCACGAAAGATGCAACAGCAGCCAGGTTTTTCAAGGAATAATGTTTCCTCATTGCTGTGCAGAGGAGAAAGGACTATTTTTGCTCAGAGCATCATCAGTCTTTTAGCCCTCATCAGAAAAAGAGTCCCTCACAGATTAAACCCTCCAGGCCTGTAAAATCTCTCTGTTCTATTCCCTCCCGTTGTCTGCAAGACTCACCAAGGTGCATGCAAAAGAGACAAAAAGGCCTTTACCTTGTGGTTTTTCCCATGTCGGTACATCATCCAGTCCTCCCCGTTGGTGCTGACCTCCAGCTTGTAGGTACGGACATAGTAGCCATTCTGGGTTTCTCTGGAGATGGCACCCTGTGTGGCAATGGCTGTAAGCACAGTCAGGAAGTGGAGATCCACCTTTCCAGGGGAAAAAGGGACAGGAGAGAGAACAGTGAACACCTGAGAGCCCAGGTTGGCTAGTTAGTTCCTTCCTCTGTCTCTGAAACATGAAAAGATGCAAATTCAGCCTGTCTCACTCCATCTGTGGGCACACATTTCAACAGGCACAAAAAAAAAAAAATCAGCAGGATGCTCGCAGATAGGACCATAGGACGAATAACTAAGGATCTTGAAGTCTGTCCATATGGGACCATCACAAAGCCTTCCTCCTGCCTCAGACCAAGCAACAGGATCTGCACAGAAGCCCAAGTCCATTAAAGCAGGACAGAGGCTGACTTTTTCCATGTAAAATAAAAGCATGATGTCCAATTAGCAAGTGCTGCAGTTCCTGGTTTTCCCTTGCTCTTTTATTTTTTTACAGCGTGGGTTGAGAAAGGTCAGCAGAGATGGCTTGGTAGCATTGCCATGAATGAAGAATGAGACGTCTGCTAGAGGCAATGACATTCACTACCTCCCATTCCTAGTGGCCTTTAGCAAGCAGTATCTCACAGTGATGTGACACAGCCAGAAGCCCTGTGTGGACAGAGACTGTGGATCTAACCAGCTCCCAGGGAAAGCCTTTGCTCTGTCAGCCCCCTACCTGACGTTAGCCCGCTCATGCTTCCTGCATCACCGATGAGATAAATATTATTCTAGTTGTTTTTCCACGCACCTCCTGGAGACTTTGGTCCTCAGGCCAGTGGCAGAGTCAGTGACCCTTGTAAGTGCCAGAGGACCTTCAGTCTTGGGCAGTACGCTGGAAAGTCCATCGAGGTTTTGGGCAGGAAGGAGGGGGTGGGGGAGGGACAGCGGGTCGAGTCAGCCCGCATGCAGGCACGCTAACGGGAGAGCCAGCATTTTGCATTTCATGGAGGCACTGCAGCTCCCCTGCTGCTCGCTCCCCATGAGCCAAAGAGGCAATAAAAAATTCAACAAGCCTTATGGTCAAGGGTCAGTTTAACAGTGTGACACTCCATTTGGTGGGGGAAGAGGTGAGGGGACTGGAAAGCGTACGTACCTGGAGGTACTCTTTGTTGCTGTCTACATTGGGGGTCCAGCCGTTGTCATCACTGTTGAGCCGGCTCTGTTGAGGCGTCCATCGCCCATCTGAATAGGTGGAGGAGGCACTGATCTGCATGTTGGAGATCCGGCCAGACTCCATCCCCAATGGCACGTTGCACTGGAAGTCTGGAGCGGACACACACAAGCACACATGCAGATCAACTTACAGCCTCTGTACTTCCCTCCCAAATGGAAGGTAGCCCTGAACTATTCTCCCCAGCTAACCCCAAACAAAGATGCCTGCCTGGAAAGATGAACAGATCTGCACCATCTTCCAAGCTGTGTGTGCTCACAGGTTCCACTGAAAAATTAAAGATGGGGCAGCTTTATGTTTGCATGACCCTCTGAAAATGAATACAGTCCAGATCTTTCTCCCTTTCTCTATCTCCTTCATCTCTGCACAGTTTTGACACAATTCTGCCCCTTCCCTCCCTCCATCTCCACCAAGATGTCCCAAGTCCCCTTGCCACAAAGTTCCCCATCTTCTTGAAGGCTGGAGGTGAAATCTAAGCACTGACAAGGCAAGGAGTACGGGCAAGCTCAATGGGAGGTTACTTACTGCTGTGCTGCCAGCAGGAACATCAGGACCTGGAATGGGGAGGTCTAAAGGTTTTGTGTGAGTGTGAGAGCATGGGTGCATGTGTGTATGTGTCTGTATACGTGCATACGCTATATGCGTTATCAGGCCAATAGGAATTAAACAGCCTGGTATGCTTTCATTTTGGTTTCCTCACTTCTAAGGCTTTAAAAATCACAATTAGCTCAATCTTATTGCATATCTCATATATTTTATGCCAGCTGTCCTGTAAAAACAATAGCAAAGAAAACATTGATAGGAAGCACTGAATGGGCCCAGGCATGTTGCTGCTGTAAAACAACGGAGCTTCACCAAACTGCCTATGCTTTTAATGAGGCCAAGTCAACCCAGGGTGGAAATGATGGGCCAAGTTAAGATTCCAGTGGAATTATTAAAGTTTCAGTTTTATAAATCAAAACAGGTCTGGCCCTTTAACAGCTCTTGTGCTTGATTTCTCAAGCTTTGTGTGCCATCAACATTTTATTTCCCAGTCCTTTTAAAGAACATAATAGAAAGAGGATTAAAGAACAGATCAACTGAGGGGGGATATAGGTAACGGTGAAGAGCTCATGCTTGTCTGTAACTCTCACAGCCTCAAAAGAACATCCCTAACTCAATCACGGAGCAGGAGTCTGTAACTCAGCTGCCCTAGTGCTGCACAACCCCTACTCTACCCTGCTCTTTATCATGGGCTTTCAGTGTCGGGTGAGGGACCCCCTCTCTTTCTCTGAGACTGAGGGGTGTCCTGAAGGCTTCTTCTGTTGTATCACAGGTTCACTGCTAACAGAGGTCGAGAACTGTAGCTCTGATGTAAAAATACCATGGGAAAACAAACTGAATCTTTCCTTGCCTGCAAGCATTCTTACAAAGAATCAAAATGCTCTTCATTCTCAAAACACACAACTTCCTCACTCCACATCAATTTACCTCCCTTCATAAGGGATCTAAAGCAAATTTTGGTTTGAAATTCTTAGAGCTTTAGGCATTTTTTAATTAGACAGTCAAGAAATGCTAATTTGTAGTTCGGGGCTGTGAATTTTTGGAAAACCAGAGAGGGGGAGAGACTATTTTCCCCCATGTTTTAATGAATCTGCTGCACCTGCTTGGCTGAAGTCTTCCCCTAAATCCTTTGGGCTGAGCAAGTACATGAAGGATTCTACCCCAAAAAGTATTGAGAAGCCTTCACAAGCAAGTGAAAAGTCAAAGAAAGGTCAGAAAGCGTGATTCTTACTGAAATCCCACTTCTATGAGAAACAGAGGACACACCTAGTGCAACTGCTGTCCGCATTGCCAGTGGGGGACCAACCCCTGGACACACTCCTGCCTGCCTTACTCTTGCACATGCCAAGTGAAAGACTTGGGAAAAACAGGTGACACGATTGCCTAAAGTCATATGCACGTGTTTCCAACTTACTTTCTGGGACTTCCTGCTGGATCAAGTAGTACTGTGCAGAGAAACCGTCTTTAGCCACTGCCAGGTCTGTGTGGAAGGTGAGTGAGAGGACACCAGTGGTTGAGCGGATGTCTGACGGCATCTTAGTGCCACAGTACCTGCCTATCAAGGGGCCGACTGCAAAAGAAAGAGCAGCAAATGTTAACACCTGCTTTTCCACTGGTATACTGGGTCACCAGCAGATTGGCATCACTCAGCAGGGATGCCTTAGCAGGACTAATTGGGATAAAAGAAAGGCTTTGGGGATGAGCTCTTTTTTACATCTGCTGGTACAGTGCCATGCAGTGCACTGTGCAGAAATATCCACTGCAGCAGGCGCTGCTCTGCAATTGCTGGGAAAAGCTCCAATCTGCTCTGTTTCTCAGTGTTGGTATGGGGTAGGAAGGTCCTCCCAACTCTGCATGAACCCAGTGCGCTTCCCTGAGGGAGGGCTGGTGGTATCTTGGAGTGCCCCATGGGGCTTTTCTGATCAGTGGTTACAACAGAGCAGTAGTTTGGAGTTTAATACATGCAGTCTTCTGCAAGCACCCTGTCCCCACAGCTGGCCACGGAGCACTGTGATGGCAGGCTGTGTGCTGTAGCCATGTCTGAGTATAGGCACCTTTGGTGTTCAGACACAGACTGCACAGTTTTGGAGTTTTGTGAGACACCAAGAGAAGCTGAGGACAGCAGCACAGCACCCCATGGCTTACCCTGAGGGATGCCATCCCAGATGTCCAGCCAGTCGTACTTGCAGTCTCCTTCCCCTGCCTGAAGCGGGTCATGCTCAAGGTCGAAGAGCAGAAAGTGGAGGAGGATTTCTGTCTTTGGCTTGGCTATGATGGTGAAGATGCAGTCCAGGTTGTGTGGATACTTGTCAGGGAAACCTGGAGACTCAATAGTGCCATTGGAGGCAGTGAAGTTTCTGGAGCAGTCCTCAGAGCCTGTAGTGGCAGGAAAAAACTTGCAGTATTAGCAACAACGCAACTTAATGCCAACAGCTTGACACACTGTGGAAACCCCATTTTATGCTTAGAAGGATTGTGTTTTCACTTCAGGAAATGTCCTGTAACCCAAGAGCTGTGTGAATTCCTTCAAGGACCAAGAGGGTCCTTCAAAGCTTTCCACAGGTGGAGAGACAGGGTCTGTGTGTTCACTGGAGTGGACGGCATGTGTCTAAATGCCTCAGACAGCTCTGCAAATGTAACCTGTGTGCCACTGCTGATCCTCCTGCCAATTATTCCAAAAACAAGACTAGGAGAGGGATCCCATCCAAAGGCATCCAAAGCCACGGCTGTGATTTGGCAGGCCAGCACCCTGCCGTGTCCCCCATGCCAGTGGTGGTGGCCCTGGTGGTGAAGGGACGCCATGGGAGGCTTTCCCTGCCAACCCTACTCACTGTCTGCTGGGCTTCCCAAACAGTGACCTGCCAGGAGACCTGTGTCTGCTGCCCCAAAGCCTGCAGAGGGGCCGGCCAGAGTGCAGGGGGCTGCTGTACCTGATCCTCACTGCTGTAGCTGCCACCCCTGCTGGAAAATGGCCACAGCAGCTCCAGGTCCGATGGAGGAGCACCTGTTTGGGGAGGGGGCTGCCTGGGAAGGGGTAGAGAGGAGTTATGGGGATGCCACCTCTTTGGAAAAAAAAAAAACAGGGGCTGGTCTCCTGCAGCCTCTCCCCCTCTGGCATGGACATCTGTACCTCAGTTTCCTCTTGAGAAAATCAGGAAGCACAAATATTTACACAGTGAAAGAGTCTGGGGGAGGGTGCCAACGTCTCCACTGTTAGCTGGAAACCCTTGGGAAGCATGCGGTTAGCCTGCGGCCCCCTGAGACCTACGCAAGGGATGAGGGCCAGCTCCAGCGTACAGCCCCACTCTTTGGCCACGGCAAGAGCAGGGGTAACAGGGGCCATGGCAGAGGGATCTCTGCTGAGAGAAGGAACAGAACCCTCTTTCTCACAGACTGAGCCATATGCACCAGAAATGCAAGTTATTTCTATCCTTAAGGAAGACCTTTGCGTGGCGAGGAGGGCAGACAATGTTGCCTCTTATTTATTGCTGACCTCAGCACTGGCCTTAGCTGCAGCCAGGCCAGTTCTGTGCCCCCTCTCACACAGCCAAGGTGCCTCGGGGTGGCTGGGGAAAGGGGAATTTGTGTCATATTCATACCACAGTGACTTTGAAACCTCTGCACTGTGGAGAAAGGACAATAGGCAACAGAAATCTGCAGCCTGAAGCTACCAGAGTCGAAAGGGGATGTTAGAGAGGCTGCTGGCCACTGCTGCAACCCGGCATTAGCGTTCGCAAAGGTTTCTGCTTCAGTTTTACTGGGACACCTTCCTTCTCCTCTACAAACCCTTCTGTTCCGGCTCTTCCAGGCAGCACGAGCCTTCCCAGGACTAATGGGAGACTTGTTATTCAATTCAGCATTAACCTACAGGAGTCAGGCCAGCAGCCCACAGTAATAGCAGGATCCCGGCACTGCATTATGCAGTGCCTAGCTGGAAAGCTACTCAGGAGAGGCTCTTAATTGACTACCTAATGAAGCAGCCAGCTTTTCTAGTGTGAACTTGAGGGGTAAAACACAGAGGCAAAAAATAAGGCCAAACACAAATCACAGCATAATGCTGTGAACTGGGATAAGGGTGTACTTCGTTCCAAACAGCTTGAAAGACAAATAGATAAATAGGTAAAATAACACAAGCTCCGAGCTAGGGAGAAAATCAAAGACTAAACCCAGAGTCAGGGACTGTCCTCTAGAGACAGGAGACAGACATAACTGTGTCACTGCATTAAGACAACAACAGTTTCTTCAGTGGTGCTCTTATCGCATTTGGCATCTTTGTCTACAGTTTGGCTGATACCAGCAAACACAATGATCAGGTTTTTTATAAGGAAGCTGCAGATAATCAACGTTGAGTCATGCTGGCTTTCGGCACCACCCTGAGAGGAGACTTTGATGCCCAGTGATGGAGAGCTCAGGCCAGCCCTGCCAAACTGATTCACAAAGTGAGCAGCAGGGAGGCTGGAGCAGCCAGGGCAGGCGGGCTTTTGTCAGCCCACAGACCACTGACTGATATCCATCAGGGGATTGAAGGACTGGTATGCAGTTGTTTGTATGCAGATTGCTCCTCTCTCACACCACGATAAAGGAAATTTAGCACAAGGTGTGGAAATAAATGCTGTCTTGAAAAGAGTTGGGTTTTTTAGGTCACCTTTAAGAAAGAAAGAAACTGCAGCCACGCTGCCTTTACTGATGTGGACAATGACAATCCGATGACCTTTAAAGCTGGTGACATCTTTGCCAGCTACCCTGACAGCTTAGATGGAAACTTTGCCCATGCCTGCCTGCCTGCAAACAAAAGGCAGGATTTGCTTGTACTGCGGTGGTCCCCGCAGTCAGCACTGCCCACTGCCCTCCCTGGGAACCCCGGGAGGAGGGAAACAGGGGCTGGGCAGGTAAGGTTGGCTGCGGCACCCCCATATCACAGGATCATCCCTGGTCCTGCACCAAAACCTGCCTCATCAGGCTGGATTTCGTGGGCTGTGGCTAGAAGAAAGCGTGTCTATTATTGCAGAGGATGTCTGCCTGCAAGGGGGCCTGGTGGCTAAAGGAGCCCCAACATCACTTCAGACCTGAGGGCAGCCCTGCAGGGACCTACATCAAGGGACACAAACAGGTCCAGGCTCCATTCAACATCCACTCTCTCACAGATCAGCCCTTGCTTCCTCTCCCTCCACACCAGCAGCAACAAAATCTCCTTTTCCCATGAATTCAGCCCCTCGCTGGCTCCCACCCGGGCAAAGAAGGTTCCCGCCTGCCATCCCTTCCCACAGCCACGCTCAGCCTGGCCTAGCCACCTCAGCCAGCTGGATCACTCCATGCCTCCCCGTGCCCCCATTCAGGACCCAATGTGAGGACAAGCACGACCCACCTCAGTCTGCTGGACTCAGAGGGGGTGTGTGTAGAGGGAGTGTGAGGCAAGGGAGGCTGAGGTGGGTCAGCAGTCTTCCCACCTGAACACAGGCATTCTTTGCCATCCTCTGTGTTGGCAACCAGCCTCAGCAAACCCCAATAGCCGGATGAACCACTAAACTCTTTCAGGACTAATCTGCATCCTAACCATTAACACAGCAGTGATGAGCTGGCTGCACCAGAACAGCTTGATGGCCAGTTATACAGCCCAGGCAACCACCAGCAACAGCACTTTCCTCATCCACCTGAACCTCCACATACCTCCTGTCCTCAGCATTTCACAATGAATTTGGGGAGTCCCATTCCCATCCTCTTGCAGCAGAGTCTCCACATTCATATCTCCCTGTGACCGGGTTGTGGGCTGCCCACTGCACAGCTGGGCCAGGGCCCCCTAGCACTGGTGCCTGTGCTCTCCCTGCCTTCCCTTTGAAGAGGCTGGGTAAGCCGCCCTGTTTGGCTCCTTTCTGGTTCTTCACCAGGCAAGGGCATTTTTTTTTGTACTGGATGAGATGACGTGAAGGCTGCATGTGTTTTCTTCCAATGCACCACCGAAGGAATGTGGGCACCGGGCAGGCACCCGCGTCCCTGTGCAAAGCACACTCTTGTTCCCTCAGTGCACAGGCACACCTCTCTCACCCGTGCACACACACAGCACACACAGAGTGGGTTTTATTTTCTCAAGCCTCCTTCTTCCCAGACACACAGTTCTGGCAAATATTTAGACAGAAACACTATTAAAAGGCCTTTGAGCAGCTTTCCCTTTCCTCAATAATAGTTCGGTATTAAACAGAATTATGAATAGTTCCTCTTATATCTGCCCGGAAAGGCGCCGTCTCAGCCCTTGACAGCACTGCTGACAGCAGTCCCTTGAAAACCAGAGCTCCCCAGTTACACACCCCACTTCCAGGGAGAGAAAACACAGTGTCATTGATCAGCCCTGAATTGCAACTCCACAGGAGGGGGAGCTCCATGCACTTCTAACCAAGGGACAGTCCCCACTTAGCCCTAACAAGCTCCACACATGCCAGGGAGAATACAAGAGAATGCCTTGAATACAGGAGAGCATTTAACGAGGACCTCTGCTTTTGATGCCACACTGTGATCCAAAAATGCACTATCGTGGGCCACTAACATCTTTACCTTCTTGGAAATGTGATGCAACAGAGTTGCTTAAATTTAAAAAAAAAGAAAAAGAAAAAGAAGAAAAAAGTCCTTTATCTACAGAGAGCATGCTAAAAATCATATTGAAAAGGTGGCCAAATACATCTCCTTGTGAAGATCATCATGGCAAATGGCCTGGGAGACAGGCACTGACTCAGACACTCACCTGTCTTATAGATCTCGTAGCGCAGGGAGAAGCCGGCACCTTGCCGTGCATAGTCTGAGGTGAACTTGATATAGAGAGAGGGGCCAGAAGAGATGATGGTGGGAGGTGCTATGTTCCCACAGTGCTTGCCCAGCAGGTCTGCTGCTTCACTGTCCCCATCTCGGATCTCAATGTAGTCGTACCTGTGGAGACAGGTGAAATGGCAGTAAAACCATCTGTCAGGGAGACGCTTCAGATGCCAGGAACAAACACAAAACACTTCTTTATATCTGCATATTTCACAGAACATCTTCCACACAGGTACCTGGGACTCTGTCACTCACAGCACACCACACCCTCCCCAGTACATTTTCTCCCTTTTGTCTGCCTGCCTACGTTTAAGTCACTCCCTCTGTTGTTCCTTATTTCATTAATTTATCGCACCCAAATCTACTTCAACTTCAGAGCCAAGATGCAAAATTTAGAACACAGTTTACCTCCATTTCCACAACACTCCTTCAGCAGGGGAGAAACACAGATACAACTCTTCTGGAGCTGCTCTCCTTCCCTTACCTCTCTCCTTAAGCACCATTGTGCTACTTAACACAGCTCAATTTATTCCACTGTCCAGGTGGAATTTCTCCAAGCATGCACCAAGCGTTAAACAAATAGCCAATGTTCAATCCATGTAAGCGGGTAGCTATTTTGTGCACTGTCTGACACCATACTGATCCTTTAACAAGCGTGGCCAGTACACTTAGCACTTGGACAGTAAAACTGATCCTCTTCTATAAAGTGCTAACAAAGATTTTCTGTGGATGAGAAATGCTGGGTTAAGAGCTGGGTAACCACATTCACTATTGCCTGATCCTTGTACACCCTGTAACCATAACCTGCTTTTGCTAAGCCCTACCTGGAGATGTCCTACCTGCCCACTGGCATGGCTCCTGGGCATCTGAACGGTCTTGGGGAAGAATGTGTAGGGTTGGAAGAATTGCCTCCTAATGCAGAGACAAAAGCTTGCTGCAAAGTCTGGCTGAAAGGTGAAACTCCCCCAGATTCCTTCATATTTTCTAGGCCATGACTAATGGCAAGGTAGTTATCAGGCTCTGTGTGCTGTGAAGAACGAACAGCTTTTACGTGAACATCTTGTTCTTCAGCTGCTTTCTAACACCCGCGCTCTCCCGCCCCTCTTCTCCTCTCTGGCCAGCACGCTGCTATTTACAGAAACTGCCCAGCTCTCTTCAACTGTTTATTCGCTTTCTATCAACCTGTTTGAACAACATTCTATAGCTCTTCTCACGGGGCCAGGGAGGGAAAAAGCATTTCCAGGCTGTCAGGAATCTGCCTTTCTTCTTTGTCACAAGATCTCCTGTTTGGAAATGGAGAGTTGAAAGGAGAAGTAGCTTGCTGGATACAGCAATGATCCTCATGTGACTCATTCCTGTTCTGCAAAGCACACATCGGCAGGCAACAATCTCAAAACAAACTTACAGGAACTCAGTGTGCTCCTCCACAAAGAAAGATGGCCTGGACGGCTTCAGTTTCATGCCTTTCTGGGACTAAATCAGGCTGAGAGCCAGAAGCAAAATGCCTGCGGATAAAATCCTGTCTATGCTGGACCAAGCACTCAGCTAGCTGCAATCACCCAGCCTTTAACCTCGTTACAGACTCAGTTGGCTTGGCCAAGGTGAAACCCAACCGGTCTTGAGAAGAGGCACTCACACAGGAAGAGCATTTGGCTTAGCTGGTGGGTGGACACACATCGATGTAAATGAAGATCTGTTCCCTCTGCTCTCTCCTCCGCTCTGCGCAGCTCCCTATCACCTCATGACCCCTTATTACCCTGACACCGTCCAGCAGCACCCTGCATGACCCCACTAACGTCCATCATGTGTGGCTTGATCCCACCATCTCCCTAGGGAGGAGGAACATAGAGGGCAGTGTTAGTGCTTCTTTTAAGTAGAATTTTTTCCTCCTTGTTTGTCTATTTGTTTAAAGTAGCACTGAGCAAACAGCAGGGACATTTTGTTCTCTAAATAACTACTTGGTCTCAGTGTGCTTGCAGCTCTTCCACATCTGAAGTACACATCTGTGCTGCAGGACTACCGGCTACTAGTCAAATCATGAATATGTGGCAAAAAATTAATTTGGCAAAAACATGAATGTTGGCAAAACACAGTTAATGGAGCGGATTGTAAAAGCTGCCATTTGCGTGGCACAGGCAGAGGTTAGCTGCATCCCAGGGAATCACATCTGTTTGTGCCCTCGTGGGGTTATAACTCGCCAACACAGTACGTAGCTTCAACTGCTTGACTGTAATGATCACAGCTTCCGCTGTAGCCAACACACCAAACATCCTAGCACTGTCCACATGGCTCCTCAAACCACCCAGTGCTGTAGGAGCCCTGGCAATTTCAGAAGCAAATTCTGGACCAGGAAATATTTGCTTATTGAATGGGTGAATAACTTCCAATAATACATACAATTTGGGAATATTGCAATCTGCTCATGGGCAATTTGCAAATGGAAAATTAAAAGAATGAACCTAGGAAGTAAATCATCAGGAAATATTTGCCTCTCTGAATTAAACCCTGTTTGGCTTCATCCAAGCATCTAGCTGAGCTTTCTCCTACTGGAGCTAATCCTTCATAAATCGAATGTTACAAACAACTAAAAAAGCCTCTAGGAGAAGGTCAGGGAATCATCATTGCCAAATGTAAAATTAATATAAATGCATAAGAATTTTCTTCCCTAGTTAAAAAAATCTTGGCCCAAGCCCTCTACTCCTCATGAGGCAAAACTCTCTTTCTTCAGGTCATATAAACAGTGTGAACTGGGAGACTATTAAACTCAGGAGACAACTCCTGCCCAGATGAGCAGGAGCACCTACTTCCCTCCAACACAGCAATTAAGCTTGAGGCTTTCAAAATGAACACTAAAGACGTCCGGTCCAAACTGTGCAACTTTCAAACTTCAGCAAGAACACCAGCTAATCCCCACCACAGACTCTTGGCATCATGTGCCTTAGTCGTGTCCATGCTTTGGCCCACAATCAAACAAGCTAATAAACCCCATTTTCTTCATGTTGGGTCACCAGCCATGTTAAAATCTAGTTTGGCCAGACCTTTGCTTCTGTTAAGCTTAAGCATGGTTTCCAGATTTTGTTCTTCCCGTGTGAGAAACAAGAAGAAAAATAGGAAGGAAGAAAACCCAACCCTGGAGATGCTTTCTACTCTAACCATTTTGAGATAATTATAGACTAGGGCACAGCTGGGTGGAACTCTGTCGTGGTTTAGGCCGGACTAGCCACTGAAACGAATGACAGATGTATTTACACAACGATGGCATCCACACTGTTTTGACCCGTGTCCAGCAATTGGCATTTCACTCATATAACCAAATCCATTGTTTCAGTCAACGTGTACCAACATACTTGTGGGTGCACCTCTCTGGCATTACCTCCACTGGACAAGCCGTCATCTCCAAGCTCATTTCATGGCCACTTCTCCCCATCTAGTCACTGCTGCAACAAGCCAACCATAAATATGTGAGGGTGTGGTGCAGCATCCGTAACCCACAATTACAGTCAATGGATTAACCAAGTCTTCTTGCAGGGAAGGTGGCCGCAGTTGGCTGCTCCTCCAGCAACAGGATGTTTTCAGCTGTTGCTTGAGTGGGAAGGCCAGCCCACTGGTTTGAACCCCCCCCAAACAGAGGCTTCCACTAGGAATTTTTAAGGCAGGGAAGCAAAGCTGAAGTGCTTTTAACTTCCCAGAAAATGTGGGGTTAAGAACGGAAGGAAATGCATTGCTTAGATGCTCTTCTTGGAGCTGTTTAAAAGAATTAAACGGAAAATGTATAATGCTTACAAATATTGCTGCATTTTTATTAAAGATTTTTAGTAGAAAGCGCTTTGCTGATGTTAAGAGAGCTTTTATAAACTAATTATAAAGCACTTCTAATGCCTGTATTACTCATGCTTGCTTGCTTGCTTTTTCCTCCAGTCAACCTTCTCTGCTTCCCAGTGTTTCCTTTCTATTTTCCCTAAGCCAGTTTGCTGCTGGCTCTCCATAAAAAGACTATGAAGCACAATAAAGGTAAACAAGCCCCAACTGCAGTGATTATGAGAAGGCCTCCACCTTTTCAGTCCTCTTCTGTTGTGAAATAGCTAATCTGCTCCCTGGCTATTGAGCTGTGCTGCACCGTCCCCCAAGGCCAGCACAGATCTCCCAGGTGCCCACTCCAGAAATGCTGCGACCCATTTGGGGAGCAGCACCAGAGAGCCGCGTCATTCCTCTGGGTGCTCCTTTCCTGGGGCACACAACTCAGCACAAAGCACAGTTTTGGGACTCATAATGCTCCATGCATAATCAACAAACCTATTGCCCCTCAGCCCCAGGTCCTAAGAGATGCTGAGTCTTTCCCCACTGAAACATGCTTCAAGGACGTTACAGGGACATGAGCTTAGGATGGAGAGAAATACGAACGATAAATAATATACATGTTCACAGCCATAATACAAGTCCTCCCAATACATAAACTTGTGCAAGCCTTGCTTCAAAGCCTGAGAAGGGTTGGCTCCCCAGCCCAAGCTCTGACCTAGCTGGCAACTTTCTCAGTCTCTTCGCAGAACTTATGATTTGAAGTAGGTGAGGACTCGCATGCAGCTAAGCCTGGTTTCCAATGCTCGCCAGGGCCATAGAGAGTTGCAAGGCTCTAACCTGAAGTTCCCCAATGTTTCATTTGGAGCTGTTATTTATAGGCACTTCCATGGGGTTCACGACTGCACCTGGCAATCACTAATGAAGGGATCCTCACGAGACCCTGGGAGGTGGGCAGGCAGAGAGCAGTGGTTGGCCCAAGGTCACAGAGGAAGTTTGCAGCACCGCCAAGAATAGAAGCCAGCCTTGATTAGACAGATTATTTTATATTGGAGGAGTCTGGCCTAGATAGAGAGACAAATAGGTACTGACTGCATGCCAACAGCCCCAAATTTGGGAATGCCCCATGTTGACTTGAGCCTTCGAGATCCCTGGTCTGCTTGAACCATATGTCATGCTGTCTCAAATGCATCTGCTGAGAATAGGAAGAGAAACTGCAATTCTAGTGAAATTCAGCAGGCATTAATACTCTGCAGGTAGCTGGGGGAAGTTATGGGGAACCTGCTTAGCCACAATGGCAACTAGTAAATGCAATTGTT